CTCCCACCACTGGTTTCCTGGGTCCAGAATCGGTGCTGACTGCTGTGTAGGTGATCCTGCAACTGGTCCTCTTGTTCCAACAGCTCAGCATCCTACTCTTCCTCTGGCTGCCACCGCGTCACAGTGTTCCCGTGCTAAAGCAGGAGCTGCAGCTGCTGGCATAGGATATTTTCCTGCTTCTGCACAGTCCACATCATCTGGTCAGTGGTGTGCCGGGGGAAGACCAGTGTCAAATTCATCCAGCTTTGACTACTGTAATATAGCCCAAGCCGTTTGTGTTTATTCACACTCATCACCATAGGGCTGCAGAGCAGCTGGGTCCATGCTGGCCAACAGCAATTCAAAAACGGCACAAGCTCACCCTGAAGGGAAAAGTATGGGACAGAGATGGTGGAAACAGGGAATGAAAAGAAAAAAAGAAAAAAAACCTGCCTGGTTTCCCACAATTCACAGCAAAAACATTCCCAAGATGCACACCCACCCCAAGAACACCACAACCTCTGTTTGCAGCACCGCTGCAGTATGTTCCCACACTGCAGATGTTCTGTGTGCATGGTGTTGGAGTGAGCAGCCTGACATGCATCAAAAACTTTTGGATTAAACTCCCCTCCCTCCCCCCATTGTAATCACACCCTGAATCAGAAAAAAAACCCCACTCATCGCAAAATAACTGTGTCCACATGGGGAGCTATTGTGGAATAACTATTTTGGTCAATTTCCATGTATAGACAAGCCCTCACATATACAGTTTCTTCTGCTCCTTTGGACCCACATAACTTTAGGAAAGCACCCCTGGCAATCGGTACCTCCCTTTCATTGCTGCCAAAACTATGGCAAAGTGTCAGTAGTCTACACTGGGAGCAGCTGACCACAGCAGTCTGGATACTTTATCCTGGGTGATGGGCACAGCAGCAGACGATATAGTCTCATCATGTGGTGATAACACTCATTACATTCCACTAGTATCTCTAGAGGATGTTAAACAGAAGCTACTAAAGCTAAACATTTTAAAATCAGCAGGGCCAGATAACACCCAAGAGTTTTAAAAGAGCTGACTGAGGCACTTGCTGGACTGCTATTGTTGATTTTCAATAAGTCTTGGAGCACCGGGGAAATTCCAGGAGACTGGAAGAAAGCTAATGTACCAATTTTTAAAAGGGTAAACAGGATGATGGGGGTAATTATAGGCCTGTCAGCCTGACATCGATCCCGGGCAAGATAATGGAGCAGCTGATACAGACTTGATTAATAAAGAATTTAAGGAGAGTAATGTAATACATGCCAATCAACAGGGGTTTATTCAAAATAGACTCTGTCGAACTAACTTGATATCTCTTTTCGATGCGATTACAAATTTGGTTGATAAAGGTAGTAGTGTTGATTTAATATACTGATCTCTGTATGGCGTCTGACTTGGTGCTGCATGACATTCGGATTAAAAAATGACAACAATATAAAATTAACATGGTACACATTAAATGGATTAAAAACTGGCTAAATGATAGGTCTTGAAATGTAATTGTAAGCGGGGAATCATCATCAAGCAGGTGTATTTCCAGTGGACATCAGTTCTTGGCCCTATGTTATTTAACATTTTTATCAATGACCTGGTAGAAAACATTAAATCATCACTGATAAAGTTTGCAGATGACACAAAAATTGGGAGAGTGGTAAATAATGAAAGGACAGGTCACTGATTCAGAGCAAGCTTGATTGCTTGGTAAAATGGGTGCAAGCAAGCAAGATGCGTTTTAATACAGCTCAATGTAAATGTATGCATCTAGGAGCAAAGAACATAGGCCATATTTATTGGCTGGGAGACTTTATCCTGGGAAGCAGTGACTGAAAAAGTGGGTCATAGTAGCTAATCAGCTGAATAGGAGACCCCCAATGTGACTCTGTGGCCAAAAGGGCTAATGCAGTTCTTGCGTGCATAAATGGGAATCTCCACTAGAAGCAGAGAGATTATTTTACCTTTGTATTTGGTACTGGTGCAGCCACTGCTGGAATAGTGTGTCCAGTTCTGATGCCCACAATTCAAGAAGGATGTTAATAAATTGGATTAGAAAACATGCCTTAAAGATTTTGCTCCTTGAGTCTATCTATTTAGCTTAACAAAGAGACAGTTAAAGGGAGATTTGATTATAGTCTATAACAGGGGTCGGCCACCTTTCAGAAGTGGTGTGCCGAGTCTTCATTTATTCACTCTCATTTAAGGTTTCGCGTGCCAGTAATACATTTTAACATTTTTAGAAGGTCTCTTTCTATAAGTCTATAATATGTAACTAAACTATTGTTGTATATAAAGTAAATAAGGTTTTTAAAATGTTTAAGAAGCTTCATTTAAAATTCAATTAAAATGCAGAGCCCCTCGGACCGGTGGCCAGGACCCGGCAGTGTGAGTGCCACTGAAAATCAGCTCGCGTGCCATAGGTTGCCTACCCCTGCTCTATAAGTATCTACACAGGGAACAAATATTTAATAATGGGCTCATCAATCTAGCAGAGAAAGGCATAACATGATCCAATGGCTGGAAGTTGAAGCGAAAGAAATTCAGACTAGAAATAAAGCACAATTTTTAATGGCAAGAGTAATTAACCATTAGAACAACTTACCAAGGGTCCTGGTGGATTCTCCGTCACTGAAAATTTTAAAATCAAGAGAGGATGTTGTTCTAGAAGATCTGCTCTAGGAATTATTCTGGGGGAAGTTCTCTGGCCTGTGTTATACAGGAGGTCAGACTAGCTGATCACAATGGTCCATTCTGGCCTTGGCATCTATGAATCTCTGAACCCTGCCCACAAATGCATAGCAGGAGGTAGCCAGGACTTCATATTTCCAGGACACTTGCCAATTCCAGGTAAATCATGACATTTTTCAAACCCTCTTAAAAGTGATTTATATTTGGTTTGTGTATAGTCTAGCTGATGCAAAATCCCTTTAAAACCAGAGTTAGTATGCTGGCCTATTTAAATACTTGGAATTTAATTAACAGAGGCACTGCAGAAGGACAAGCAATTTCCCATTTGTTGTCCTTGCTGTGCAGTATGTTCCTGGCTTCAAGCTTCCGAGTGATCCTGAGCGGAAAGTGAGTGCATTTAATCAGAACCTCCTCAGAAGAGACATTCAGCTCATTCTCATAGGTGGTTCTGGGTAATCCTACTGATCACACACATTCCTATGTGGGAAAGAAAGAACTCTCTCTTTAAGCAAATCTAGGTATTTCTATACACAGAGCCACAGCCTGCCTGAGATTGGTGTTTAACTCTATAGACCACCAACGGGAACTTTCCTGCAAATCAAGAACAATTTGTATGCCTTAGATTCAGTGGGGGTGAATGGGGAGTGCTAATGTATTTTGTGGTTAAAAATATTACAAAGGAACATATTGGAACAATACAAGCGAACTGGACATTTTATTCTTTTCACACTTCTTGGACAAAGCTTCACTTACGTGCTAACACCACTATTGTAGCAATTTACAGAATTTTTAAATGTTTCCTTTAAAAAAAAAAGTTGTTTACAACTCTCAGCCGAAATAAAGACTATTTTACATAATTTGATAAAAGATTCAGAACTAAAAAAGCATCTAATAAGCTTTAGCCCAAACAGTTCTCTCACTGAAATTTAATTAAAAGAGAATTCCTTATAAAACGATCAGGCTGTACATTTAAACTCCCTGATTTAAGAATCAAAGTGCATGACTGGTTTACTTTTTAACATTCTTTATTCTGTTAATACATGTTAGAGCCACACCTCATGTAGGAGGAAGTTACTTCGCAATCTTCTTGTATTTACTGTTGATCGGCAACACTTGGTGAGAGGACCTATTTTAGCTGTGCAGCTCAGACTCTTGCTCAACTATACTGCGTTGGTATTTGAAGCATCTGGAATCCCATTCTAGCTTTATTTTGGTTAAAAATAATGTGCATAAAGATTTCTCTTCAAGAGGCTAATTAATTGGGTTTATAAATTGACATATTAAGTTTACTGGGAGTTCTCAAATATACCAGAGATGTAGAATCTGTTTATGTACCTGAACTCCTGTGCTAACACAATGCAATGTGCGTATATAACAAATCTAGAAGGTAATCTTTTTAATAAAAAAAAAAAAAAAAAAAAAAGGAAGGGCCAAATTGTCTGGTAGCTAACCACCCTTAATTATCTCCATTTCCCAACATCTCACGCACACATGCTTTTAAAGTGTACTTCGCAGCATTACGTCCCTGGGGCCATACAATTATCTTTTTTGTAGTAATTATGCTGTACCTACTAAGACATTCATAGTTCAGTTAGGAAAGGTTGTTTTAAGTCCCCAGATTTTAATGAACATTCTCCGCATTCCAGGGAACAGTTTCACTTCCAGGCACACGTCTGAAAACATTTCATAGTGTTTGAAGCAGCAAGTGTCAGAGGAAATACAAAGTTCACAAGTGTGTCTTTCAGTGATACCAAGCAGTACTCTCGAAGGTCCCCTCCTACCAACAGATGATTGAAAGTGGGAAACTTTCATGACTCACTGCTATTTGGACTCAAAGTGAAAGTCGTGTATAAAATGACTCAACTAAAGACAGGTTTCTGTAACTTCCTCCCTTTCACGTTGTTTTTACGAAGTAGATTTTCATCCGATTGCTCACTATGCTGCACAAAAGCAAGCTCATTTTGCATTATCTGTCTTTAAGAATAATTATTTGCTCTTCACTGACCCCCATGTTTTGTTTTTATAAAAATGGCTTTTATGTATCTATCTCTGATCTCCGTAGGCAGACAGTGCTTGTCTAGCTCATCTGGACCATGAATGACTGTGTGCATATGTAAACCAAGTAAGACATCCAAAGGAAATGTAAAACCAATTGTTGGGCTTGGGCCTATCTCAGGTACTCCGCATACGGGGGAGGGATAGCTCAGTGGTTTGAGTATTAGCCTGCTAAACCCAAGGTTCTGAGCCCAATCCTTGAGGGGGGTCATTCAGGGATTTGGAGCAAAAATCTGTTTGGGGATGGGTCCTGCTTTGAGCAGGGGGTTGGACTAGATGACCTCCTGAGGTCCCTTCCAACCCTGGTATTCTATGAAATCATCTTTTAAGGGAGAAAGCTCTGAACGTCAAACAACATTTGCAGCGGTTCCCCAATGATGCAATGGCAAAGGATTGTTTACAGTACTTCCATATTCCACATTCCTTAAAGGGTGTTCACCAGTTTTTCTCATTTTGTTCATTAGTGGGGAGGTGAATTTCCCAATCTCTTGAAAGAGGGAGGGACCATCACAGCCTCGCCCTGGCCATGATGCCTCAAGGAGCAACCTTGCTGCAGTGGAGATGCTGAGAGGTCCTGTTTAAACCAGAGAACATGGGAAATCAGAGTGAGGGCAGCCCATTTGGCAATGACTCTTTCGGTTCCTCCTACAGCCCCCTAGTGACCATAGAGCAGCAGTTAGTGCTAGCACCATGCGCAGAGAGGCAGCTCTTTGTTGGGGAAGGAGATGTCACTGCCTCTGCAGTTGAAGGTGGCTCTTTTCTCTCTTCCAGCTGGGCACTCACTGATTCCTGTCCCCCCATTAATACAGTATTTTGGGGGTGCCCTCCATTCCCCCAGAACTTATCTGATCTCACATCTCCTATGTTTAGTAAGTAGAGAAGTAAAGGCTTATGGAAGCAAACAACTGAATTGTCAGTTTTGTATTCTACAGTCTAAATGACAGTGTTCATTTGCCGAACAAGACGACTTCCAATTTATCTTCACTCTGACAAACTGCAGACTTCATTCAGTGCAGTCACACAGCTAACCAAGAGTGGATACAACCAGTGTGGTGCCGGTTCATTTCACAAGCCAAATCTTCGCTCCACTTCATCGGCAATCATTTTTGCAATGGCAAGGGAGGAGGTAGCGGCAGGAGATGGGGCATTTCTGACATGAAGAACTCTGCTTCCAATATCGCCAGTGCCTCCATCAAATACAAAGTCATCTACCAAATTTCCATTCTGGTCCAAGGCCTGCGCTCTTACTCCAGATGGACCCCTGCAAAAACAAAGGAAGACTTGGTAATGGGGGCCAATATTATCTAATAAACCACACCAAGTTGTGAGAAATGCTAAACAAAATACTGTCAATTCCCTTTAGGGCATTTAAAAGTGAACCAGGACCTAGGAATTAACAACGATCAGTTACAAAACATGTAGGTTTCTAACATGGTGTTACTTCTGAATCCCCTTGAGGTGAGATGGGGAATGCTAGAAATTGTACTAGCAGGTCACAGAAACAAGGAAGCAGACCAGCGCTAGTCTATTTCAGTCTAAACCTGAGAGAGATGTGGTCTAAAAATACAACTACACTAGATCTAATCCAAGCTCTGACACTTACTCGCCCCCTGAGATCTGGGCAAGTCATTTAGCATAAACACCACCAAAATACTTCTGCCACAAATATCCATATTTTCTCCGATTTGCTCTTGTCAATAAGGGAGACAGATATTAGCTCACAGCCACCATTATACTTACCCTACATACATACTGTTGTATAGAGATTTTGTTACTAAAGAATATTTGGACCATTTGGGGCACTGTGCCCTTCCTATGGAAAGCCGTAAGTCAGATGTGACATGGAAAAAATATTCTGCAGCTGTGCAATTTGTGTAGGCTGTAGTCAGACAGCTATTCCATGCTGACATCCCAGCAGTGAAATATGACTATGAGGCTCAGTTATTGTATTTCTCTCTTAGTGGAGCTTCCTGTAGGGCTGTTTGCAGGCAGTGCCGAATGCAGCAGCATACCTGTTTACTGGATTGATCACATCTATCATCGGTATTTGTATGGCCTCCTTTACCACTGTATCCAATGTCTTACAATCTTTTCATGTGTTCACCCTCACAGCACTCTGTGAGATGGGGATAATAGGAGCTTCTTTATTTTACAGATGGGGAACTGAGGCATGGAAAAACTAAGGGCTTGTCAACACGAAGAAGTTTACTGGTATAATTATATTGCTATAACTCTCTGTGAGTGCACTGTTATTCCAGAACAAAAGTGCCTTTTCACTGTTTGGTTTAGGTCACTAAATGGGAAAAGGGCACCCTTAGTCCATAATAAGTGTCTACACTGGGTGTCATTCTGGTATGAATACAGCAGTATAATTGTACAAGGATGGTTATGCCAGTAAGTTTCCCCATGTTGACAAGCCCAAAGCGACTTGCTCTAGGTCACACAGGTCAAGCGGGGAATTGAACCGGGTCTCCCAAGTCCCAGGCTAGCATCCTAATCATTCCACCACCCTTAGGCTTGCCCTGCAGTTTGTGCACTGGATGCTTATGTGACAGAATGACTGTAAGCCAGCCATGTTCGTTTAAAAACCCTTTGAACAGGGAGAAGGCTACATGCAAGGCTTCCATCTTGAGTTTACCCCGATGATTCTCTGCATGCCAGTAATATTAGCCATATAAGGATTCTTCACTCAAGCCTCAGGGCTTGTCTACACATGACAGTTAATCTGGAATAAGGTAGAGTGTGAGGGCACGTCTTTACTACCCGTCTTCACTACCCTGGATCGGAGGGTAGCGATCGGGGATCAATTTTATCGCATATAGACGCGATAAATCGATCCCTAATCGCTCTGCCGTCGACTACGGAACCCCACCGCAGCGAGAGGCGGAAGTGGAGTCGGCGGGGGAGCGGCAGCGGTCAACTTGCCGCCATCCTCACAGCCAGGTAAATCGACCTAAAATACGCAACTTCAGCTACGCTATTCACGTAGCTGAAGTTGCATATCTTAGGTCGACCTCTCCCCCCCCCCCCCCCCCCCCCCCGTAGTGCAGACCTAGCCTGAATTTAAAGAAGACTAGCTATTCCTGATTGACTCCATGTGTGGACGCTCATACTCCTGAAGAAGAGTGTTTTATTCCAAATTAGCTTAATCCACTGTTATAATCAGCAAAGCTATTCCAGAATAATTTGCTTTAGACAGCCCTTAGACTGGGAGTGGACCAAGCTTTTCTGTAGCAGCCCTTAACGCGGCATACCAACAGGCCGAATCCAGCAGGGTGGGATGTCACATACAGGAACAGATTGAAATTTAAATTCGAGTGGTTTGCATATGGCCTTTCTAGACTTCTACAAGCATTAATCTTGTATTGATGCTAATTTTAGAAATGATGATGACAAGGATTGCAAGATGATTAGGAATGTCAATTCTTTAAGACATTTAAAAGCACTGGGGATATCTGAATATTTGTGGTTCACACAATTTATCCCAGTGATGCAGACATCTGAGCAGTGGATAACATTTAAAAGGTCTCAAAAGCAGTAATGCAAACAGCACTTTGACAGCGAGTGGTTTAATATAGAATCACAGAGTTTAAGGCCAGAAGGGACCCCAGATTATCTCCTCTGACCTCCTGTACAGCACAGGCCACCAGCACCCGCACACTAACCCAACAGCCGAAAAAAACGGTTACTCACTTTCTTGTAACTGTTGTTCTTCGAGATGTGTTGTTCACGTCCATTCCAATCGTGCCACGTGCACGGTTGTTGGAAACTTTTTCCCTTAGCAGTTCCCGTCGGGTCGGCTGGGAAGCCCCCTGGAGTGGCGCCTTCGTGGTGCTCAATATATGACCCTGCCGACCCGCCACCCCCTCAGTGCCTTCTTGCCGGCTACTCTGACAGAGGGGTAGGAGGGTGGGTATTGGAATGGACGTGAACAACAATTCTGCAATCCTGGCTAATAGCCATTGATGGACCTATCCTCCATGAATGTATCTAGTTCTTTTTTGAGCCCTGTTAGTGTCTTGGCCTTCACAACCACCTCTGGCAAGAAGTTCCGCAGGTTGACTGTGTTGTGTGAAGAAATACTTCCTTTTGTTTGTTTTAAACCTGCTGCCTATTAATTTCATTTGGTGACCCCTTGTGTTATGAGAAGGAGTAAATAACACTTCCTTATTTACTTTCTCCATACCAGGAATGATTTTATAGACCTCTATCATATCTCCCCTTAGTTGTGTCTTATCCAAGCTGAAAAGTTCCAGTCTTATTAATCTCTCCTTATATGGAAGCTGTTCCATACCCCTAATCATTTTTGTTGCCCTTTTCTGTACCTTTTCCAATGCCAATATACCTTTTTTGAGATGGGACAACCAGATCTGCACATAGTATTCAAGATGTGGGCGTACAGAGGCAATATGATATTTTCTGTCTTATTATCTATCCCTTTCCTAATGGTCCCCAACATTCTGTTCGCTTTTTTGACTGCCGCTGCACATTGAGTGGATGCTTCCAGAGAAGTATCCACAACGACTCCAAGATCTCTTTCTTGAGTGGTAACAGCTAATTTAGACCCCATCAATTTATATGGATAGTTGGGATTATGTTTTCCAATGTGCATTACTTTGCATTTAACAACACTGAATTTCATCTGCCATTTTGTTGCTCAGGCACCCAGTCTCTTCTGTCTCTACTGGAAATGCTTCACCTAATACACACTAGGCTTACATTTCCCTTTTTCGCAGCCACATCAGTACTGGTGGTTCATTGTCATTGTGTGATCGACCGACACACTCAGGTCTCTCTCCTACTCTGTTGCTTCCGACCAACGAGCCCCCAGCTTGTAGCAGAAATCCTTATTATTAGACCCCAAGTACATGACCTTCCACTTTGTACTCTTGAATTTTATCCCATTTCTGTCACTCCAGTCTTCAAGGTCACCCAGATCTTCCTGTGAAATGTTCCGAACCTCCTCTGTATTGATGGTGCCTCCCAACTTAGTATTATCAGCAAATCTCATTAGCGCACTCCTACGTTGTGTGTCAAGGTCATTAATACAAATATTGAATAAGACTTGTCCCAAAACTGATCCCTAAGAAACTTCAATTGTAACCTCCCTCCAGTCTGATCTTTTGCCTTTCATCACAACCCGTTGCCTTCTCTCCTTTAGTCAATTCCCCTTACAACGCTTGTTCTGATCCACATCTTCCCTCATTTAACTAATAATTTACCATGTAGCACTGTGTCAAATGTTTTACTGAAGTCCATGTATATTAGATCTACTGCATTTCCCTTATCTAAAAAAAATCAGTTATTTTCTCAAAGAAGGAAATCTAGTTAGTCTGGCACAATCTACCTTTGGTAAATCCATGTTGCATTGCACCTCCTTTACCATTTACCTCTGTGAATTTCATTATTCTTTTCTTCACAATTTGTCCTAAAATCCTACTATTGAGGTCAGAGTAACAGGTTTAATAGCCTGGATCATTTTTCCCCCCTTTTAAAAATATAGGTATGACATTAGCTATTCTCTAGTCATACAGCACTCTGTATAGATTAAAAATCCTTACTACCAAACTAGCAATCTCATGTGCCAGTTCTTTCAGTATTCTGAGGTAGAATTTATCCAGTCCCCCCAGTGCATTAAGATCTAAGTTTTTCTTCCATCTGAGATGTGGTCATTTCCACTTGTAGACACTCATTCCCGTCAGCCACACTTACCTTCATGCACATGTTCTATATCATCATGGTAATTGAAAACCAAAGCAAAGTATTCATTTAATTTTTGGGCTGTACACCTGCACCTAGATTATCTTTAATCTCATTCCCATTCACGCTGAATAGTGGCCCAACCTCATCCTCTCTTTATTTATATAAATAAAAATCCTCTTATTTATTGTAATTTCCTTGGCAAGAGCTAATTCAGATTGACTTTTAGCAATTCTCACATTAGTCCTACATTTTCTAATTAACCCCTTTTTCCATTCGCTATAGGCTCTCTGCTTACTCCTAATAACCTTTCTGAGGTGGTTATTCATCCAGCTGGGTCTGGAGCTTTTTCCTACAAGTTTCTTCCTATTTGGATGCAAATTTCAGATAGTTTTGGTATAGCTGATCTGAAGAAGTTCCAAGCCTCCTCTGTATTTAAGTCCTTGAGCTCTTCAAGCCAGCTGACTTTAACAAATTCCTTTCATTTCCCAAAGTTTGAAATTAAAAATAATAGTTGATGACCTGGTTTTGATGATCCAATTTCCAAAATACACTGGAGTACAGTAGAAGGAGTTCTTGAAAGGTCCTCAAACTCAAAAACCTTCTTGTGGCAAAAAGTAGTTACTACATCTTTCCGATTGCAAATCAGTCTAGGAATTGCTCTTGTATTGGACCAACTTCTGTTGGTGAGAAAGACAAGCTTTCGAGCTTACACAGCTTGTCCCTCTCACCAACAGAAGTTGGTCCAGTAAAAGATAGTACAGCATGAACCTTCTCTCTCTAATATCCTGGATCCTATGGCTACAACAACCTACATATAGGAATTGCTCTGCCTGCTTACCATTTCAATACAAACACTAATGATTTGGTTCTCTCTTTTGGAGCTCTCTAAGGATATGTCTACACTGCAGTTAAACACCCGCAACTAACCCGTGTCAGTTGACTTGGGCTTGTAGGGCTTGGGGCTACAGGGCCTGTTTAACTGCAGTATAGCTGTTTGGGTTTGGGCTGGAGCCTGGCCTGTGGGACCCGCCCCCCTTGCAGGGTCCCAGAACCCTGACTCCAGCCAGAGCATCTGCATTGCAATTAAACAGCCCTGTAACCGGAGCCCAAGTCAGCTGACACCGGCCAGCCACAGCAGGAGTTCTCACAACAAATGTTTTGGTGACCTCAGAGTGAAGATGACGGTGTGGGTGGTGAGCCTGGAACCAGAGCCTGCTATCGCGTGGATGGAACCCGAAGCCCTGTGGCTAAAGACTGCCCACCCGCCCTTGGGAAAGTGGGGCATTCACCAGCTGCCTGCAACTCCAGCGTTTGTGTCTCCATAGGGAGGCAGGGCCGAATCCCCACTGGTGGACCTGGGAGAGGGGCCACTGCTTCCTTCCCCCTCCCCCCAATCACAGCCCAGGAGGATGTGGCCGCAAAAAAAGCCCCTGGTGGCCGCATTTGAGAAACACTGCACCGGGGTATGTCTACACTGCAGTGTAACCCAGGCGTAGGAGAACTCAAGTTAAAAGACCGTGGGTTTGAGGGTCTACACTCATTTGTAACCCCCAGGAATTACTGAAACTTAGGGCTCTGGCATTTACATTGCATTATGCTGGCCCGAGCCCAACCACCTATGTCCCAGACTTCCCTAGCGCCCTCCCAAAACGTGGCTGCTCTCGCCCTTTGTTCGTGGTGCAGTGTGGGAAAATTCGACTGTCCAAAGGACAAAGAAAGTTGGCCCATGGGACTGTGGAATACCTTTGGCAGACTTCGAGAGCACAAGTCCAGCGGGGCTGCGTCTACACTGGAAACCATTAGGGCTTGAATGCTTGACTCAGGCTTGGACCCTGCACCTCTGGGGGGTCCTGGGTCCGAGCCCTGGGTTAGCATGATTTGTGTGTAGACGGGAGGGGGCTAGGCTTGAGACGGAGTTTGAATCCTAGCCTTACGTTGCAGTGTAGCGTACCCTAACATTCTTCTCCTGGTTACTAGAAAATCAGAAGATTGTTACTGGTTTTGTGTCAGAAACAAGAACCACTAAAGCTGCTTTACTAGGTGGAAACAAGCATAAGCCACAAAGAGAAGATTTCCTCTTCCATCTTGCACCTCAGGGTTCTTCCTCTAGGATCCTCTGACCCCCTCAAATTTTCCAACCATCCCCCATTTTCCTCTTCCCACAAAAACCCCACATTACCGCAACTTTCTCCCCCATACGGAGGGCAGGCTGTTGTTCCCAGACCCCCCATCCATGTTGCTCCCAACAGAACAGGTTGTTAAAAACCAGAGCAGCGATCCCCAACAGGGTCTTTGCTGTGCAGTGTCCGCAGCACTCCCACTACTTGGGATCGTAGACTCTACCAACTGAAAAGACCTATCAGGTTTTCTAGTCCATCTCTGGCCAGTTGCTGTGTACGGCTTGCTTCCCAGTGTCCCAAGTAATGGGGCATGTGCCACTTCCCCTAGAGAAATTATCTCTTGGCCATCCTAACAGACGGCCCTGTGAGGAAGGTTAACCTGATATTTAACCTCAATTCTCCCCACTCACTTTCACCTCATTACTCCTAGTCAGACCTTATGACAGAGTACAGAGGCCCTGCCAGATTTCCAAGCACACTCTGTTCATACCTCACGCAGGTGCTCTGGGAGAGCAAGACTGAGGACTTGAGGCTCCATCAGGTTCTTGAAGGAAAGCAGGAAACTTCAGACCTGCTTGCTAGGCAGAAGGGGAGGACGCTTGGGGAAGGCCGGGTCCCACAGCCAGTGGAGCATGGCTGGGGTGATTACCCAGGCAGAGGATTTTCTGTTTTGTTTCTGGTTATATCAGAGTATATTGTTTAGCTTTTCTCCTTATAAGAAAAAACATGGTCCGGAAAAAAGAAAACTCTGTCACACATATAACTTTTGGACAGAGTGCTATGGCAGCTATCTATTCCACCAGTTTGGAGAGCTCACTTTTATTGTGCTAGATTTCTTTCCTTTCCTTCTTGATTTTTACACTCTCCAAATATTGAGAAGCGTGAGTCCCCTTCAGCCAAATTGGGCATATTTTAGCTACTTTAATTTTCCTCCTATATCAGTCTCTCCAGCTTCCTAATCATTTCTGTTGCTACTGTCTGAAGTCCTCCCAACTTGTCCATCTTTCTCACAATGAAGGACAATGAACTGAACAGGATTTTGTAGATGGGATCAGACTGGTCATACAGAGGGACTATTATCTCCTCCTGTGATACGAAGCTTTTGAGTATGCAGGCCAAATGGCATTGGCCTTTTCCACGTCTCTATCACATTGCAAACACTTGTCTATAGCCCCTGTCAACCCTAGTTCTCTTCCAACTTTACTACCTCCCAGATTTCTCCCCCTCATTAAGGATCAGTGTGAAATTTGCTCCCTCCCCAGGATATATTAGCAGTTTTCCAAGCGAAATCTCAGTTGGGACGGGAGGGAACTAATGTCAGATTTATTAATCTGTACAATAAGGTTTAACAAACAGCTAGATGCTAAACAGTGTTTTTACCTGAGTATATCACTGATGGTAACTTCAGGGATGAACTTTTGAAGTTGCTTCACCTGTGCACTAAGGAAACATGCTCTGTAGATTTCACTCATTCCATAAGAGATGTTTCTGGACACCAGTTTCCATAAACCACTAGAGTGAGACAAAACAACATTTGTAGGTAACAGAATGGCCTCCTGCATACAAAGTGCAGACATGCACCTCTGAGAACGTACCATATCAAAACATTACAATCTACACTCAGTATCAAATGTGGATTGTGCAATCTGCTTCCCATCCCCACCACCATCCAATGACCTTCTCGGATTGGCTAAGAGAATTACCACATGGCTCCTTCTGCTTCTAAGGACGTCACCCTTTCCTCCAGTGTAGGACTCCTTCCCTACACGAGTCAGTCTGGTTTGTAGAGCTCTGTGATGGGCTTTACAGACCCCACTCCAAGGTCCCAGGAGTGGTGGAACAGTATTGGGCCAAGAAGGCCCCGCCCCTCAGCAGCTGCCAGGCATGCTCCCGATGGAGGATCTGCTTAAAAGAGAGCTTTGGAAGTCCAGCAGGGGGGAAGGTGGAGGAGAGACTGGCTGCAAGAAGGCAGGCAGGCTGCAGCTGCTGAGGCAAAGAGGTCTACAAGGGAAGGACCGTGACTGTGAGTAAGGCTCAGCCAGGAACCCCCTTCCCCTGACTAAGTGAGGGGACAACTGGACTCTGAGGGTGAGCTGGGAAGCATCCCCTCCCAAGCTGATGCCCTGAACTACTGAGACTGTAAGAAGGCGGCTGGGGCCACATCCCAACCTGAAGGGAAACAGGGAAGGTAGGAAATAGTTCAGGGGAGGCTGATCTGGAGTGGCTGCCAGATAGGACTGAGCCACTCCTCGCCTCTCTCCCTTTGGGTCCTGAGCCAGGACCCAGTGGAGAAGGAGGGCCCGGGTCCCCCTATCCTTCTCTCTTCCCCCAACCCCCTGAGAGTTCTCGGAGGACTCTGTGAGGGTGACGAACTGTGGCTTGGCTGCCAGGCCCCTGGACTACCCGGAAACTGTCTCCAAGCCTGGAGACAGGTTTGGCTGAGGCCTGACCACAAGGGAAGCTGGCCCCTGAGTGAAGCCTGCTACAAGCTCATGTAAGTTTTAGAAATGAAGCTCTTTCTGCGGATGTTAGGAGGGACTAGCGTCCAGAGATAACTTCGGGATTCTTCTTTGGGAGAGCAGGACAAAGGATTGAAAACCCTACACACATTTAAAGGAGGAGACAGAAACCACTCCAGAGGCATCATCCACAACCATTAGGAAAAGAGCAATGAGCTTCTGAGGAGGGGAAGGCGTCTCTCCTCTGCCTGGTTTGTGGGTGCAAGAGAGAATTATTAACCATTCCCCGCAGCTAAAATCTCTCTGGTCACCTATACAGGCATGTTGCAAACTGTATCCTTCAAGAAAGGAAAATTAGTCATGAGCAACCTCAGAGATAATGGGTCCCTTCCTCTGGAGATGATGGGGATTGAAAGCTGTAATAGGCTCTTTTTCTTGCCATATACTTCAGTGAAAACACAATCAGGTACTGTTTGGGTGTGTGGAATGGAAAACAAGTGCCTTGTGTCACTCAACACTGACCTCCTCTACACAATCAGAGACAGTCTCATTTATTCCTCCTCCAAAGGAGACAAATGAGATGCAGGGCACTCATGGTGGAAGTGTGACAAAAGTGGGGCGCTTCTGACAGAGAAGTGGTGGATCCCTTCATTCAGCAAACAAACAAACAAACACCCATTGAAATGAAGATATTACCTGTATACAACTGCATCTATAAAGTCTCTGGCACTGAAGTCATAGAGTTTATAACCCTCTCGCTTAAAGGCTAGCACTGCATTAGGACCAAGCCAAACACTGCCGTCCATCCTCGGTGTGAAATGAACTCCCAGAAAGGGAAACCGAGGATCAGGAACCTGCAGCAGAAAACGAGAACTGTAACCCCATTCAAAACAGATTTAGAGACAACAATGTAATTGTTTGATCCAATAACATTCTCAGGAATGTGAAAGTCAGTCACTTTCCAGGAGACACAGAGAAAACATTTATGATTTACTGTGGACTTAGATATTAGTCAAAAGATAATAATAGAAGAGAAAAAAAATGTTTATTACAGCCTTTCAAGATTATCCTCACATGGGCCAAATAATTACTATCCTCACACTAGGCAAGTAATCACTCTGGTGGGTAACAATAACTATCATTTGTTATTTTGTCTTCAGCTATCCTGGTAAAAAGTCAAGTGAGTATATTATGTACCTGGGCATCTCTACTGAAAGTCAACTGCCATAATTCTAATTTAAACAATTCAATACTTAATTTTTTTTAAAAAGACTACCCAAAACCGTGAAGCTGTGTCAGCAGCTCTCAGTTCACATTGTGAAATGCACAGAATATTACGTACTGGATAAATGTTTCCTTTAACCATATAGCATTTTTCTGGCTTTAACACCAAGTAGTCTCCACGGAAGGGCACAATGCGAGGCTCACGGCTGCATCCACTGATTTCGGAGAGGTGGTCTGAGTAGAGTCCTGCACAGGTCACGATATGTTGACAGTGGATTTCCTCTCCCTGCCAAAAAACAAACCCCACAACTACAAATTCAACAGATGAAGATGAAGAAAAATTAACCTATAAACCAATAAAAAACAAGCCAAGATCAGAAAGGACAACAATCACGGCTTTGAAAGATCAGGTATTTTGCATGCTGGAAGTGGGTAACATTTTTGTAGTTTATTTTTATTTAATTCTTGAAAATATTCTTCCTTCCTTCCTTCCCCACCCTGAAAGAGGGCAGTGCCTCTACATCTAGCTTCCTAAAATAGTCATACAGCAAGTAGTTTACAAAAAGTTGGAAGAATCCTTATAGGAAAAAATTAACTAATGTATCAGTTGTTGGATTGCCTTCCTCAAGTGAAACGCATGGAACATAGCCGTTTGCCCTGTAAAATAAATGTGTGTGTGTATAATACACAAAGACCCATCATGCCTAAATCAGAGATTTAGATCCTCCAGGTAACTGAACTTTTCCCCTTGGAATTTCCCTATTTCACTCAAACATCAGGAATACTGGTGTCATTCCAGCATGCAGCTCCCTGCCAGGTTTTTGTTGCTGGAGTCTATTATAGCGGTGGTGTATCTAACCAACCACCGTGTGTTTGATTAAATAAGGGTATTTTTTTTTAAAGGATCTCTTTACTCTCAAAAATCAACTTCACTCCACGAACTGTGAGAAGCTACAGTTCTAAAGGTAGTGTCAATTCATAGTTTGTGTACCCAAGAGCTCTATGTAATTGCATATTCAACACTGAAGGGGAAAAGTAATTTGGCATTACTCTGTTTTCAAGTGCCGGGTTTCTTATTCTTAATTACATTAAAAATTCTAACTATCACTTTAAAGTTATTGCAGACGAAGCTTTTTTTGGAGGGGTGGGGTGGAAGGGTTCCTATAACTTGAAAGGTTTTTTTGTTTGTTTTTTAACTCATGAAAATGGAAGGGGCACAATCAGAAGCAGCATGAACGGAGCTGCAATAATAATTACAATCCACACACATCATTTTATATTGTACTTTATAGCTTTCAAGTTATAAAAAATATTTCCTTGTAATTTTAAATTGATTATAGTGGAGGCAGGAGCTGAACGACAAACCTGAAAAAGAAATTTCTGAACAACCAAACCTCATAATAAAACTGCACTAAAATAATACCTCAGGCAAAAATCTATAATGAGATCATTAAGATTAGCACTCCAAATTTTAGCCCCAAGGCATTTACATACAACAAACGTTAAGTCTAAAATTGGTATCGGCTAGAATTAAAATCTCATGATTATTACTATTGAGAAACGCATTGATAGGACACCTACTGGAAACTAAGCACGATGCATTAAACTAAGTTATAAGACATTTAAAAATATCAAAGAACAAACCAGATGAAACAAACATCCAGAGAACTAAGGAATCGGACCCAGAGGGAAACCCAGCGAGCTTCCTGGTAAAATAATTCAGAAGCAGTTTCAACAGCTAAAGACAAGTGGGGAAGATAGTGGTTGGAAAGCACAAACAAACAAGACGAAAGGCCTAAATGATCAAATATAGACCAGTCAACTGAATGAAACAAAGAGTATGCAACATATTTTAATATCATTACCAATCTACAGTAAAATCTTAACATCTAGCCATCTGTGTACCATGTCAGTTTGCCTTCATAAACAGGTATTGTATTATCTAGCACAGCCCGTCCAATGTGATCAATGTTTTAGTGTTTTTTGAATTATATGATTAGTTTTTCACAGCATACCAGTAACTCCCAAGAAGAAAAGCAGCAGATTTTTTTCCTATTAATCAATTCAATATTAGGCTTAATTCTTACCTTAGAGTTTCTAACAACAACTGGATATTTCATCCCTGCAAGAGAATTAGATATAAAGAGGTTAATAGAATCCATGCTAGAAAAAGAAAACCGATAGTACAGCCAACTTTTCAGGATTGGAGTCCAACCGGGGAACCTCAGACTATAGAGCAAGCATTGTTCTGATGGGATTCATAAATATAAACCTAACCATTTTCTGTTTCCTTCATGTATTGTATTATTCCTTTCCATGTTCTGAGATCTGTATCTGAAGTAGACCCAGTTTGCTCGCCAAGACAGAAGCAAAGAGCACTGTTATAAGCATGTGCACCCAATATTCAGCTGTCAGAAACTATCCTGAGAGAATAACTTGTTTCATCTGAGAGAGTCCTATTTTACTGGGCATTTTTGCTATGTCCACTTGAAAATTATAAGTTTCAGAGAGGCAACCGTGTTAGTCTGTATCAGCAAAAACAACGAGGACTCTTTGTGGCACCTTAAAAACTAACAAATTTATTTGTTAGTCTCTAAGACGGGGGTTCTCAGACTTTTGTACTGGTGACCCCTTTCACACAGCAAACCTCTGAGTGCGACCCCCCTTATACATTAAAACCACTTTTTTATATATTTAACACCTTTATAAATGCTGGAGGCAAAGCGGGGCTTGGGGTGGAGGCTGACAGCTCGTGGCCCCCCCATGTAATAACCTTGTGACCCCCCTGAGGGGACCCGACCTGGAGTTTGAGAATCCCTGCTCTAAGGTGCCACAAGGACTCCTCGTTGTTTTTGTTGAAAATTATAACTTTTCTTCTTCAAGGTGATCTGCCCTGGAAAAAAAGTGGGCTCTTTCAATTTGATGAAATATCCCAGCTGACATAATTGTGTCTTTGGGCCAAATATATCATTACTAAAAAGAGAGTTTCAAAAATATGTGAGAGAAAAGTAGCTACAGCACTTTCAAGTACTTTTAGTTACAATAAAAGCCTTAGGGTAAAATTTGTTATGAAAATACATTGCCATGTTACAAGAAAGAGAGAAGAGGGAGTGCTTACCGTCTTCACTTTCTGAAGGACTCTCTTTAGCCATCTCCATGTCTGTTACTTCAAAATCTGTCAAGACTGCACCACCCGCTTCCTGGAAATCTTCCGCATAGGACTGGGCCACTTGTCTATAATTCACAATGCCGGTGTATGGGGAATCAAGGGCCATCACACCCTAAAATGGGATTGGACGAATTACAGGAAAAAAAAGAGTTTGGTGGGTAACTAAGATGTGTGCCTCCGAATGGCTCTCAGTTATAAATCAAGTTATATAACCCTTGCTTCCAGGGTGGTGTAATCCTGTACCACAGACAGTGCAATATAATGTGCATATGGCCACACTGGGCATTTTCCCTAAAGTGTAGTTGTTTCTAGTGCTTCCTGTCACTAAAAGCCAATTACATCACCTCTGCTGTGAGTTACCCCCTGAACTGGATGTCAGAATCATAGAATATCAGGGTTGGAAGGGACCTCAGGAGGTCATCTAGTCCAACTCCCTGCTCAAAGCAGGACCAATCCCCAGACAGATTTTCCCCCAAATCCCTAAATAGCCCCCTCAAGGATTGAACTCACAACTCTAGATTTAGCAGGCCAACGCTCAAACCACTGAGCTATTCCATAGTAGACTGTTCCCAAAACTGGACTTTCCTATGCCAGAGAATAACTAGCACCTGCTCTATCATGAGCCCAGGCAAGGTGGGTGAAATTCTTAGGTCACTCCCTGGCACACGGGTATCTTTGCATCAAAGGGACTCAGTTTCCTGTATGACTGATTTCTTTCAGCGCACTGGTAAGGAACACAGCCATGCCTTAGCTCATCATCTGTAAAATGGGGATAATAGCACTTCCCTACCTCACAGAGCTGTTGGGACAAATATATTAAAGATTGTGAGGTGCTCAGAAACCTTAGATAGATAAACAGAATAAGATTCGAACCCATAATGCAGTTTTAAGTTTCCTTTTGATGAATTTTGTTCATATATTTAATACACAGAGCAATGAGCTCTTTATAACTAATATATTGTGCCAGTTCTCTTCTGTTCAGGATGTTGGGAATCAACTCAGGATACCAGCGTGCACTGAATCAGACCCATTTGATTTTAGTCATTTGCAGAGCTAAATGCTTAGCCAGATTATTAATGCACACATATATTTCTATATATTTTACACAATAGCCACAAAAGCTAAATTAAGGTAATACTAAGAGTCCTTTTCGGACAGGTTTTTGTCTGTCTTTTTACCACATAAATCTAGATGACTACAGTAACTTCTAAGCAATCACCCACACAAACCACTTCAACAGCAGAAAACTTTCAGATGAAACCATACAGGGATGTTTCCCTCCCAATTTTCCTTTCAACAAAAGAAACAGTAATAAAAAGTCTTGAAACTAACAGGCTGACCACATTTCTGATCTCCTCCTACAGTAAAGAAATACATGTGAGAGCAAAGTGTTACGTAACAATCCTAGCACAAAAACTGACTACATTCAAACTGGTTTGAATCAGAACTGTGTGCTTCCAGCTGAATAGAGATTTGCACTTGCTACACAGCTTCACTGATATTGCACATGATTAAGGCCCTACTTGAATTGCGGGAGGACTGTCAAAGAATTGCAGCTGAGTTCTGGACAAGACATGGAAAATCACGGAAAAGTAATAATGGACCCTTATTATTTGTGGTAATTTGGAAAAGCTGACAGCGGGAGTCCGGGGCTGACAGTGGGAGCCCCCGTTGTCAGTCCCGGGGCAGCTGGCACTCCCGCTGTCAAAACTGCAATGGAAGCTAAATATTGCGGGATCTGCAACATCGCAAATTAAGTAGGGCTTTAAACAGGACTATTATATAGAGAAAAGATCCTCTCAGCAAAAATTCACACACGGGAGCTCTGAATTGGGGAGAGGAAAGCCTAACTACTGATTGGTAACCATTCCCACTCCACGGGGAAAGCTTTCTAATCCCCATTGGCGATTAGAATCTATCCACCCCTGGGTACATCAATATTACAGAAGATTCTATTTTGGCTCAAGTCACTATTTGAGATTCACGGTTTTAGGCTGTAGGTGTGACACCCAGGGATTGCTTGGTGTCAACTGGCAGAGGGCACGGGGGATGCATGGGGTGGTACCGGGATTCCCATAGTCAGATATATGCATATTAGTTCTCCAAAGGGTGGCATGCAAGGTCTCTACTGAGAGCCAGTAGCTCACTGGCCATTATAATCATTTTGAAATGTATAGTATGGATAATATTTAAGGAGTTAGGTATCTATACTGGAAATTAAATTCGTAAAGTATTTTACTCCTGGGGGAATTCTGCACCACTGCGCAAGCGCAGAATTAATGTCCCCTACAGATTTCCCCACCCTGCACAATAACGGATTCTGATGGGGAGGCGAAAGAAAGCTGCGAGAGGGGTCACGCTTCAATTACACCTTTCGTCCACCAGAGGCTGCTGTGGCACTAAAGGGCAGCTGGCTCACAGGCCTGAGCAACCAGCCGCAGAGAGGGAGGAGAGGCTGACTTCCTCATAGCGCCCTGCCTAAGGGACCAGGTGAGGAGGCACAGCATATGAGGGGGACAGACAGAACGGGACACATGGGGTTGCTGAGGGGGGGGCACACAGACTGGAGTTCAGACGGGCTAGCAAGGGGAATAGACTGGGGCCAGAGCACAGGAGCTAGTGGGGTGAAAATATTGAATGAGGGGGTGCAGGGCCACATGGGGATGTGGGGGGTGCAGGAATACACGCGGACAGGGGCAGCTATGCCTGGCTGAGTGAGGATGCAGGGCCACATGGGAACAGGGAGAGTGGGGGTGTACGGGGACATATGCAGAGATGCCTGGTTGAATGGGGAGTGGGGGAGCAGGGACACCTGGGGACAGGGGCAGATGTGCTTGACTGAATGGAAGAGGCTAGTGAACAGCCAGGGTCTGCATGGATGAGGCTCCCCAACTCCCTAACAATCCCTTCCCCCCAAAAAACCTGTTCCATACTTCTCCAACCCACACCCAACAACCCTCCAAGTTCACTCCCAGGCTCCTTCCCAGCAATTACTTCCCTCTCCCTCAGCTCCTCTGTTACCCTAAACCCCGAAGCCTTTGCACTGCTTCCGAGGGGTGCAGGAAACACAGTTCTGTACTGTAGGTTAAAAGAATTATTACTCTAAGTTCTGTATTAATATATCTAGTAAGGAATCTATTTGTCAAAAACATTTCCCGAATCTTTTTTGTTGTCTGTATTGTTACAGACATACTTACTGACCGGTATTTTGAAATAAATGACCAAAATAATTGAAACCAGCGTGATTATATTGTTATTTTGACAAATAAAATATGCAGAATTTTAAAATATCGTGTGCAGAATTTTTAATTTTCTGGCGCAGAATTCCCCCAGGAGCTGAGGCAGGCAACATGCTTTGGACAGATTCCTTTCACGTAGGGGGTAACTGACACCTTGTTTGGCCATATGTGTATTGTCTGCTTCACAACGGAGGCTTATTTGCATACAGAGCCACAAGGTCATTAAGATTGTGGGGAAAAAAAAAAGAGACTGCAAAAATCTACAGGAAGGTGTCCGGTTTATGAATAAAGATCAAAGCACTGTGTTGATATATCTGGGGTTGCAAAGAAACACCCAGGATTCTTCATCTAGGAAGCAAGCTGACAGTGTGTTTGCCTTCTGAATGGCGGGTCACAGGCAACCTGGCTGTAAAACGCTGTAAGGATCTTTGTGTGAACAATACTTAGACATGAGAGCACCTTGTTCAATAAGTGCAGACTCTAGAATGCAGATGATGATTTTATTTTACATGTAATCCTTTGTTTCCAATAATTATACTTGCTATCATTTGAACATTTACCCTTTGTTAAAATAAACCTTTTCTTAGATAAAGCCATATCTAAATGCTCTGTATTCATTGGTGCTATGATCATAGAATATCAGGGTGGGAAGGGACCTCAGGAGGTCATCTAGTCCAACCCCCTGCTCAAAGCAGGACCAATCCCCAGACAGATTTTGCCCCAGATCCCTAAATGGCCACCTCAAGGATCATCTGAGGTAAAACTGGTAAGCTGGGGTGTATTGCCTCCTTGGGAGCAGTGAATATTAGGACTGTCCAGTGGAGCAGGGGCAGGAGACTCCCGGGGCATGCTCGGAGCTTATAGTGTGCCCATCGCTAACCTGGAAAGCAGGGCCTGTGGATGCCTAGAGGGGAGTGCTTGTATTCCCCATGGCCGGTGGAGCACAGACAAGGCATCCTCCCGCTAAGGACAGGGGGTAGTGAGGTGCCCCACAATCCTGGGTATCCCCGAGAAGCATCACAAGGTGAAATACTACTTGCTTTCTGTAATGTAAAGATATTATCTGGTGTGACAGAACAGGTCTATCACTTGCAATTAGAACATCAGCAGGTCCATATCATCCCTCAAAATATAGTTGGGAAAGAAAGAAGCCTACTAGGGAAGCACCCTAACTTTTTTCCATCCCTCGCTAGTGGTTTTGGTTTTTTATTGCCCTCCCTCCTCCTTGCTTAGCAGATGTGTTTGGAGTCACCAAAGATAGATCAGAAAGTCCAGGTTTCCCCACAGGAACACTATTGACCACCAGTTTGGAGCAGCTGGGAGGCACCATGTTGGCAGGTCAAATAGGGAGATGTGTTTACATCAGTGATAGGGTGTGTGGAAACAGATCATTCAAACTAGAACCCCGGAAATAACTTTCTCAACAGGGATCTAACCCCTTTAACTTTGTTTCTTTCTTTAGGTGACATTTGATCTCTGGACTGAAGAAGGCATCTGGGGAAAGGTTTTGATTTTTTTACCCAAGGAAGAAGGAAATATTATGAGAGTCAGGATAAGAATAGGGATCACAGGGACTGGTGTAGAAGGTGGTGGGAGAAGTCAGGTCCCCTTCTCCACTCCAGTCAAATCCATCCATTTTAGGGGTTTATACTGCCACCCATCATCACAGTATCTGAGAGCCTTCATATAAAATCAATAGCCATAGCAAAGTCCCAAGAAGCCTTCATGGAATTTCTGGCACTTTTCCCTTTTGGGGGCAAAAACTCTACTTAGGGAAGGGTTTTTGGGGGGCAGGGTTTTGTAGGGGTTTTATGGGTGCAAGAAGGGGTCAATGGTGGAGGTTTCAAGGAGGAAGGTTTTGCAGCTTCTCCTAAAATTGGGCTAGGAGAACATTTCCTAAAAATACGGCTAGTATTTCTTTAAAGAGGTATATATATGCAGGGTTGGTTTTGTGCTAAATATTTCTGTACTATAAATGAATTCCTTTTTGCTGGCAGTTTTAATACCACTGGGATTTCAGGCATTCCTTTGAACACATCACCCATTGAGACTGCCATGGGGGCAGCGTCATCGAGGGCTTATGTTAAAAAGAATGTAACAGATCACTTAGATAAACTAACGCTTTTCATTCCATTTAAGAATAATAAGCAACTTACCCTGCAAAAGGGCTCCTTTGCTTGTATTTCTTTTGCACTTATCAGTTTCAGATCTCGGACGTTGTTCAGCAGCCCTCTCTCATACAGTGCTTTGAGTCTTGGAATTTCTTCTTGTTCAACAGCCACTATTAGCTTCAGAAAGGATGACAGAGTTCATGAGAGACATCAATATGGTAATAAATACATTTGCAGTGCATGAAAATGCAAAGGAAAAGTGACTGTTGGGTGCATTAATGAACACAACATATACCAATCTCAGGCTTTGTCAGCACTAGCACTTTTGTCAGTCAAACTTTTGTCCATCAAGGGTGTGAAAAAAAACCCATCCCCGACTGACATAAGTTTCACTGAGATAAGTGCTGGTGTGGACAGTGCTATGTCAGTGGGAGACGCTCTCCCGACGATATAGCTACTGCTGCTCATTGGGGGGGTGATTATATTACGCCGGTGGGAGAGCTCTCTCCCGTCGGCATAGAGTGACGACACGGGAGACCTTACAGTGGCGCAGCTGCAGCGGTACAGCTGTGCCGCTGTAAGGTCTGTTGTGTAGACATAGCCTCGGAGAGCACTGCCGCACTTAAAGGAAGTGTGAAAAAGAGGTCTTTAGAAACAATTTAACTGACCTTCCCTGGAAGATATTTGCAACTAGTGCCATAACGCCAAAGCTTAGAGTGTGAAGGAGGCAGGGGGATATGGTTTTAAATCCTGTTGGGACGCTTTTAAAAATAACGTTTAACTTAACCCAGCAGCAAGAGAGTTTGAGACGTATATGGAGGGAAAGGAAGAAAGACGCACAGTGGGGTGTCCTAATATGGAGTCTAAACTGCAGATGTTATCACCTCACCTCAGTAGACCATTGCCTTGCAGTGTATGGGCCCAAGGGAGGAATTAATTTGAGTTCCTGCGAAAAGATGGCAAGGACACACTCACCCTGCAGGATTTAACCGTGTCCATGTACGCTTATGTTCACACCAGAATATATCCCTTGGTGAAATTATCACAATAGCGTGTGTGGTAGTGTTACACTGTATACATCATACAGTCACAGTTTCCAAAATCAGAGAGAGAGAAGATGCGGCAGCTACTGTACCTTGCCACACTGTTTGTATGGAATTCCCTTTCGGTCACAGTATTCATAGCAGAGGGCCGCACCCTGCACGCACAATTTAGCTTTCAGAGATCCAGGTGTGTAGTAAATTCCACTATGAATGACACCACTGTTATGTCCACTCTGGTGGCAGGCTAAATAAAGAGAGAAGTTATGCTATTAAAATACATGCTCCACATATCTTAGATTCATACACTAGCTTCATTCTCTCAATCATCAGAAAAATGATCAATTTAAGGCTGTGCCCTAGTTAGATTCTACAGTAATAAGATGCAATAACATTCCACTCCAGGAGATTCCTCCTTTCATTCTCCTCCAAGCTGCTTAGAGTGGCTGTGTGGGACACAGTCAATGAGAGGGGCTGCAGGGAGCAGTCAATCAGGGCCCAGCTGGCTCATATAAAAGGAGTTGAAAGGGCTGGATAGATGACTGTGCTTGCAGGGTCCAGGGGAGCCAGAGGTGCTCCTGGCTGGCTGCAGGGGGCTGCAAGGGCTAAGGCAGGTAGTTGCTGGCAGGGAACCGGGGAAGCAAGGGAACAGCTTCTGGCTGGCTATCAAGACTCAATTAAGATGGGCTACGGGGAAATGGCCAAGGGAATTGCAGTTAGAGACGTGGCACATAGCTGCTACTTAGAGGGTCCCTGGACTGGGACCTAGAATAGTGGGTGGGCTTGGGTGCCCTCTTCCCCCAACAGCTAGTGAGGAAGTGGTTGTGTCCTGAGAGAAGGGAGTGTAGACAGGCCCAGGGAAGGGACTGTACATGGAACTGTTACCCCCCAGAAGGGGGCTGAACTGAGACTCAGCCAGCCGGGCTCAGAGGCCTAAAGGGCAGGTGAAGAGCCTCCAGCAAGGAAGCCCCGGGGGTGATGTGCCATCCCAGAGCAGGAACCTTCACACATAAGCTGGCCAACTAGGGCACTGAGATAGGCCCTGTTGGTCAGACTGAAGACTGGAGCCTGGGGAGGGCTACAGAGACGTTGCCAACGGAGGGGTACTGTGATAAGCCCTGTTGGACTGTGAAAGGACTGAGCCCAGGGAGGGCTACAGGACATTACTGAGGGCTTTGAGATACGCCCGGTTGGACAGTGGACTGCAGAAGGGGTTTGTTTTGTTTGTTGGCACATAGATTGTGGGTGACTCGGCTGAAGGGCTGAGTCACCAAAGACCCTCCTGATCAGCGCAGCGGTGGATGGGGGTCACTGGGAGCCAAGAAACTGAGAAAACTGCAGGCACCCACACACTCGACCAGGGGCGCTCGCGAGAGGTGGGTGCCACCCCCTTACAAGCCACAATTGTGTACACATCAGTCCAGACTTTCTAAATGTTAACACTAATTCTTAAAATGAAATGACCCTATAAAGCAGGGGTCTCAAACTCAAATGACCACAAGGGCCACATGAGGACTAGTGCATTGAACGGAGGGCCGCATCACTGACACCCCCCCCTCACTGCCTCTGGCCCCGCCCCCACCCCACCTCATCCATTAGGCCCCGCCCATGCCCCACCTCTTCCCACCCCTTCCCTGCCCCATTCCAACCCCTTCCCCGAAGTCCCCACCCCAACGCTGCCCCCAGGGGGTGCAGGGTGCGGCGGGGGCTCAGAGCAGGAAGTTGAGGTGCAGGTGGTGTGCAGGGTGCGGCAGGGGGCTCAGGGCAGGGAGTTGGTGAGTGGGGTGCAAGAGGGTGAGGGGTGCAGCAGGTGGCTCAGGGCAGGGAGTGCAGGAGGGGTGCAGTATGTGGCAGGGGGCTCAGGGCAAAGGGTTGGGGTGCAGGAGGGGGTGTGGGATGTGGCAGGGGACTCAGGGCAGGGAGTTGGGGTGTTGGATGTGGCAGGGGGCTCAGGGCAGGGGGTTGGGGTGCAGCGGGGTGTGGGATGTGGCAGGGGCTCAGGGCAGGGAGTTGGGGTGTGGGATGTGGCAGGGGGTTCAGGGCAGGGGGTTGGGGTGCGGGAGGGGTTCAGGGTGCGAGCTCCTGCCTGCCTGCCCTGGCCCCACGCCGCTCCGTTCCGTTCCAGGAAGCAGCTGGAACCGTGTCCCTGCAGCCCCTGGGTGGAGGGGGTGGGGCTTCAGGGTTCTGTGCATTCAGTGCTCTTGCCGCTCCTCTAGGTACCTCCCACGAAGCTCCCATTGGCCGCGGTTCCCTGTTCCCGGCCAATGGGAGCTGCGGGTGGCAGTGCCTGGAAGGAGGCAATGCAGGAGCCCTCTGCCTCCTTCCCCCTCTCCCCCCCGGCCCGAAGGGGTGTGCTGCCAGCTGCTTCAGAGAGCGGCGCGGGGCTCGCAACGCCACAGGGGGCAATCCTGCGGGTAGGCAGAGGGGTGGGTGGGGGGCACGGGGAGCTTGGCGGGCCACACGCAAGAGCCCCACGGGCCACATGTTTGAGACCCCTGCTATAAAGCCTCACTGTACTCCACTGCCAGTACGATCCTGAATATCTCACATACTGGCAGCCCTGCTTGTCTCTGCGAAAGGCTTTCGAGCATTTGTGAGCCAGGCCTGACTGTTACTTCTTCTCTCTTGGGAAGTGAAATGGAGGAGAGGCAGGTTCCAAGAGTACTTTTATTGACCAAATTTAATTTCTTATTCGAAAAAGGTTACACAATCTCCCCCTTAAAATGTTGGTGCCCGAATCTTACGCCCATTCACTTACCCACACAACTGACAGCCTCCTCTCTTAAGACTCATGGTAATACAAGGGCATTAACTACTTTAATATATAACTGGCCTATATAGCAACAATGACCCATCTGAGGTGTCTATTTAAGGCATTCAGCTGTTTAAGCATTATCCACACACATTAGGTCACACTATTCTAAGTCAGCAGTTTGATTTACCCTCTTGGGATTCCTCGGCCCCTATGCTACGTGTTTGGGGATTCTGCATAAGCACTTAGTGGCAGGAGATTGATCGTTGGCAATGCAGCTGTATTTGCAAGTTCTTCTTACTTAGCTGAAGAACAAACAGCAAAACAAGGGTGCTTAGTCTTTCTTGTTTCAAAGTCTGGATAGAAAACAGGCCTTGGTGTGTCGCAAGATTCCAAGTGTCCCTATTTACCAGCTGTGGTGTAAACAGGCACCAGTCCCATTGGCATCACTAACCAAACCCTGCAGGTAGTCACTGGAATAATTATATTAGCTCTGATCTTCAAAGCGAGACTACTGCATGGAACACCTATGTTAAGAGCCAGGAAACTGGTGGAAATTACTAGAGAGTATCAGTCCCAGCTGTTTGAGGAGGTGCCATAAGCAGGGCTGCACATTCGTCACGGCATTATTTTTAATCAAAAATCATTTCCCATGATTTTTGATTAAAAATGCCAAGACGAAGAGAGGGGTCCTGGGAGGGGGAAGGTGGCTGAGAGTGAGCCTGTCCTGCATTCACCTATGGGACGGAGGGGCCTGAGTGGTACAACAACACAGGATGCCAGGTCGCAATGCCACTCACTCAAATTTGGTCCGGCTGGCCCCTCATTGTGATGGCAGGGCAGCTGGGCCAAACTTGAGCAGTGTTGCGCCAGGTCAAAATTCCAGGGCCCAACCCTGTGGGACAGGGGCCACAGAAGCTGCCACGGCAGGGTGAGTTTATTAAAATCACAGACACAAACACAAGTCAGGGACAACTGGGAAAATCCCGGTATCCATTATATTTTTCCCACCGTGACAAACCTGCAGACCTAGCCATAGGCCTTCCTAGACTGATGATTTTCCAGTCCCTGTGATAGATGTAGTGGTACATCACACGGGTAAGCTCCACAGATACAAACAGAAACTTTATCTTTTGCATCAATTCAGCGGCACGGATGTCATTTACCCCTTCACATAACACAAGAACTAGGCAGCAGGTTTAAAGCAAACAAAAGGACGAACTTCTTGACACAACACACAGACAACCCATGGAACTTGTTGCCAGGGTATGCTGTGAAGGCCAAAAGCATAAGTGGGTTCAAAAAAGAATTAGTTAAGTTCATGGAGAACAGGTCCATCAATGGCTATTGTGACAAAGTTCCTCCTCTATCTTGGTGGGTCCTGCGCTTATTGGCGGATTTTCTTGCCTCAGAGATTCACCATGTGGGTTGGGGAACAGCCCAGAGACCTTCCCCTCTGGAAGAACCCACAGTCCAAGTCAATTGGGAGGTTTGGGGGGAACCCGGGCCCGCCCTCTACTCCGGGTTTCAGCCCAGGGCCCTGTGGACTGCAGCTGTCTATAGTGCCTCCTGTAACAGCTGCATGACAACTACAACTCCCTGGGCTACTTCCCCATGGCCTCCTCCAAACACCTTCCTTATTCTCACCACAGGACCTTCCTCCTGGTGTCTGATAACACTTGTGCTCCTCAGTCCTCCAGCAGCAGCACACCCTCTCCCTCTCAGCTCCTTGCGCCTCTTGCTCCCAGCTCCTCTCACTCGCACCACAAACTGAAGTGAGCTCCTTTTAAAACCCAGGTGCTCTGATTAGCCTGCCTTAAATGATTCTAGCAGCTTCTTCTTAATTGGCTCCAGGTGTCCTAATTAGCCTGCCTTAACTGGTTCTAGCAGGTTCCTGATTACTCTAGTGTAGCCCCTTCTCTGATCACTCAGGGAACAGAAATCTAGTCATCCAGTGACCAGTATATTTGCCCTCTACCAGACTCCTGTACCCCACTGGTCTGGGTCTGTCACACTATAAGCGAAGATGGTCAGGGATGCAACCCTATGCTCGAGTGTCCCTAAACCTCAACTGCTGGAAGCGGAGACTGGATGACGGGGATGGATCACTCAGAATTGCCCTGTTCTGTTCCTTCCCTCTGAATCATCTGGCACTGGCCGCTGTCGGAAGACAGGATACTGGGATAGATGGACCATTTGTCTGACCCAGCATGGTCATTCTTATGTTCTTCTGACTAGTTGGGGGCAAATCACCAGTCAAGAGAAGGCCAAAGACTCATCCAAGGGAGCTATTATGCTCTTTCTCCCTATGTTTGCATAGTCCCTTGACAGGACTGCACTGTGAAATTATTCCAAAGGGGAACCTTTCATTCATTTCAGATAGATGGGCAGATAGATACTGTTTCCCCCTCATTAAAAGAGCCTCCCATTTTTTTGTTAATTTTTTCTCAATTCAATACCCTTAAAATTGCTATTTTAGTGTGTATGTGTTTTTAATTAAAATATCTTACAGACTGACACCAGGAAACCAGAAATAAGCAAGGGAAGAAAATGCAAACTTCTTTGTCACTCTCTGATACAGTGGAGATCATGGATAACATGGATATCATACCTAACTCCTTCTCCTTTTCCAGCACACTGAACGTGAGCGATGGGTGTCGCAGAATGAGCTCTCTGGCAGACGCAAGCCCCACAATTCCACCGCCGACAACAACCACATCAAAAGTGCTATTTAGGAAAAAAAAGGGCATCTTGTAAGAGCTCGCTAGCAACATGCTTCACATTTACACGGAAAGAAGCTGCATTTTAGCAAAAGAATGTTGGACCCCTTTACAAACATCTTCTTGAAAACCCACTTCTTCTGAAATCCATACCAGAAGCCAGCTGATTAAGTCATCTACTGATTTACCTTTGAGTGACCTGCTTGTTTATGCTGAGGAAAGGTTGGGAGGAAAGAGGGGTGCGTTTTAAAAAAAACCCACCTGAAAGTGAAGCTGGAAATTCTGTGCAAGGAAGACCAGGGAGTTGAAGGGAGACAGAATACGCAGAGAAAATATATAGTTCAGTGAAGAAAAAAAGAAAAAAGGATTAAAATCTGTAACGAACAAGGAATATGTCTATATTCACCCTGATCACAATACTTGAGTCTCATTTTGTCCAAGCTTCATCTGTCTTCCTGTTTTAGATTTTATGTTCTCCAGGACAGGGCCTGGAGTTGGAAAAGTGCCTAGCACATTTTGAGTGCTAGCACAATAACTAATAATGCTAAGAATACAGTAGATTGTCAAACTGTTTGCTCCTCCCTATTTTGATAGATGCAATTTTCCCTTCGATGACTTGGAATCAGCAAGTCCAAGGCTCCAACTTGACAGCCTCAAGTCATTCTTCATGAGCATTTACAACATCCAGATTCTCTGTGCAAGTCCATAAAATAGCTGCCATTTAGCCAGGCAGGAACTTTAGAGCAGACTCACAGATGAAGCCACAACCACAGATCTTACTCCAATGCTGAGATCATCTGAAGTTAATATTGTCTCACTGTTTCTTTGTACCCCCGTCTGTGTGTACCCACCTGTGGTCTCATCTTATACTAAGATTGTAAGATCTCCAGGACAGGGACTGTCTTTTTGTTTGGTGTTTGTACAGCGCCTCGCTCAAAGGAGCCCTAAGCATGCAGTAGGACCCCAAGGCACTATGATAACACACATAATAAATAATAATACTTTTAGGACTGTTTCCCCATGTTAAGAATGTTCATTACGAACTCAATTAACAAGGTTACTCTACTCTGACTCACAACTCTCCTGGACTCTTTCTTAATTCTCTCAGACAGCAGAATACAGTATAACGGTTTCTTAAATTACATACAAAGTATATGCACTACAAGTAGTAAATTCTTGAGAGGAAAGAAATGTCCTGATCAAATATGTTTTAGGGTTTTCAATGTTGATAAATGCAAAGTGATGCACATTGGAAAACGTAATCCCAACTATATGTATAAAATGATGGGGTCTAAATTAGCTGTTACCACTCAAGAAAGAGATCTTGGAGTCATTGTGGATACTTCTCTGCAAACATCCACTCAATGTGCAGCGGCAGTCAAAAAAGCGAACAGAATGTTGGGAATCATTAAAAAAGAGATAGATAAAAAGACAGAAAATATCATACTGCCTCTATATAAATCCATGGTACGCCCATATCTTGAATACTGCAGGCAGATGTGGTCACTCCATCTCAAAAAAAGATATATTGGAATTGGAAAAGGTTCAGAAAAGGGCAACAAAAATGATTAGGGGTATGGAACGTCTTCCATATGAGGAGAGATTAGAAAGATTGGGACTTTTCAACTTGGAAAAAAGACGACTAAGGGGGGATATGCTAGAGGTCTGTAAAATCATGACTGGTGTGAAGAAAGTAAATAAGCAAGTGTTGTTTACTCATAACACAAGAACTAGGTCACCAACTGAAATTAATAGGCAGCAGGTTTAACACAAACAAAAGGAAGTATTTTTTCACACAACACACAGTCAACCTGTGAAACTCTTAGCCAGAGGATATTGTGAAGACCAAGACTATAACAATGTTCAAAAAAGAACCAGATAAATTCATGGAGAATAGGTCCATCAGTGGCAATTAGCCAGGATGGGCAGGGATGGTGTCCCTAGCCTCTGTTTGCCAGAAGATGGGAAAGGGCGACAGAGGATGGATCACTTGATGATTCCCTGTTCTGTTCATTCCCTCTGGGCCGCCTGGCATTGGCCACTGTAGGAAGCAGGATACTGGGCTAGATGGACCTTTGGACTGACCCAGTATGGAAGTTCTTATGTTCTTAGAGCCATTCTAGTTTACAGCGTAAACCCTTACTGACGCTGAACTCTTTAAATCAAGATGGGCTTTCTTTCAAGAAGATATGCTGTAGCAAAACCAAGAGGTATGGTCTTGATGCAGGAATTACTGGGTGACCGGTGTTATTCAAGTGGTCAGACTAGAGGACCAAGATGGTCTCTTTTGGCTTGAAATCTATGAATCAGCACTTAAGCGGAGCACACAGGATAATGTGATTTAAGCAAAAAATTGATGTACTGTAAAGGGGATACAGTACTCTGGTGGGAATAGACCTCATTCTAAAAAAACCTACTTTTCTTTTTCAAAATCCACTCAGTTGTCAAAAAATTGTAAAAAATCCCAACCCAAGCTACTATTTTTGTAGGACCCATACAAACAGGTTTCGTGCTTCTGTACTTACTTTGGAGCATCAGTTGAATAATAAACACCATTCCCACAGCTACAAACATACCTGCTGACACTGACAAAGCCATTCAACAGATAAATAATGCCCTGTTGGAATCTACCACATTAGAAACAGGAAAACAAATGGTATCTGAGGTTAGCCAAGATGAAAATAATTTCGTTCAATGTATTTTTATTTTATTTGAAAATACTGTCTCCTGAGATGCTATGGAGCTCACTGCTGCTCATCACCACAGGATCCATTTCCTACCTAGGCAAAGACACTTCCTGTGTTCACATGTAGGCACTTGGGAGTTCTGAGGAAGACTATTTGAAAAGTAACTTAAAAACTGAGAAGGTGTCCGGATATTTGCATAGTGGAGCATGAGTACCTTTATCTTACAAATTTTGGGGAGAAGACCATGGACACAGTCCTTTCAGCAGCTAACGTAAATGCATTATGGGATTAAATGGAAGGCTTTCTCCTGCTGCTTCTGGGCTGGTGGCCCGTTACTGAAATACATACAATGTGAACAGTGCCTCACATGAAACAAGGATGAGTCTAAATTCAGATCTAACTTCAAGATATGGACACTGGGACGTAAAAATGTTTCATGTTTCTATATTGCATGTCCATGGACCAACAGTAGGTATTACTCTACAGTAAAATCCTGTTATGTGAATATGATAGAGTGAGATATACCTGTATTACCCCATTTATTTTGAGAACATCATTTTGATGCAGAGTCGCCACTTTGTATTGTAACCTTCATGTTATATTGCAATCCACATTGTGGATTAGAATGTGGTGTACTGAGGACTGCGTTGGAATTGCAAGCTGTCAATTTAAGAGTTGGGAGGCTTTCTGAATCCAGCTTGCAGCCCCGAGCCTGGATGGCTCTGTGGCAGAGCATGAGCACAGCAGACAGACAACCTGGAAAGAGCCAGGCGGGGTGAGCTGTGTCTCAGTGACTTAGGCTACGTCTACACTACCGGGGGGGGGGAATCGATTTCAGATACGCAAATTCAGCTACGGGAATAGCGTAGCTGAATTCGATGTATCTGATCCGACTTACCCCGCTGTGAGGACGGCAGCAAATCGACCGCCGCGGCTCCCCCGTCGACTGCGCTTACTCCTACCTGGGCTGGTGGAGTACGCGCGTCGATTCGGGGATCGATTATTGCATCCCGACGAGACGCGCTAAATCGATCCCCGAGAGATCGATTTCTACCCGCCGATCCGGGCGGGTAGTGAAGACAAGCCCTTAGAGAGCAGTCGGTTTTCTCTCTGTGTGTTTTGGGGTTCTTGTGTGTTACTTGTTCTGAATTCTAAGAAATAAAGTAGTGTTACATTGCAACCTTCTAGCAAGAGTATTAATGTTTTCTATCTCATTTCTGGGTGCATGCTGTGAACATAACAAAGCATCCATTTTGTAATACAGACTTGATACCTAATGGAATGATCATGTCTGAGAAGCTATGACTAGAGCCCTGCGTGGATACAAAATTTGTATCCGCATCCATCTGTGATCCACAAAAATGGTCCACGGATATCTGCAGATGTGGATATAAAGCAGATATCCGTGGATTTGCAGTGCTCTAGCTATAACAGAGTAATCTAGAGCCATCAACTCCAGGTATTCCTGATCCCCTGCAACAATGATGAACTTTCTACGCAGTAGCCTGGCTGGGAGCAGGGACTGGAGTTACTCAACTTATAGCAAATGGCTGGGAGATCTGCAGTTTCTTTTGCTAGCTACATGACCAAAGGAGCCAGCGACTGAAGTTAAGAAGGGGTGACTCTGAGCAAGGAGGCTGTCTGTGTCCACTGCCATATGCCAAGAAACCTGTCCAGAGAGAGACGAAAAGCAAGAAGGAGTCTGCTTAGCCTAAGGATGCTGACCAGGCCTCAGGCTCACAGAAGAGGAAGGATCAGACTAAAGGGGGGGAAGGAATCCTCTCAGGACTGTTTGTGGTTTCTTCAAAGATCTGTAAGTCTATGCTGTTTCGAGTACAGTGCCTATAATTAATACATTACTTTGCTAAGCTTGCATTCATTGGTTGCCTGCCACATTGTTCCAGTTAATCAAGAAGCTCGGTGCACCCAGAGCAAGGTGGAACTCATGAGATGTGTGTAAGCAACTGAGGGTTCAGGGGGCTGTGATACTGATTCCGAGGTCTAAAGCAGCTAGGCTGCAGAGCCCCTTGTCCCAAGGAAGAGGTGCAGAAATGATGTCTGCAACTGCACATAGGATCCAGCCAGTGGGTCAACTCACAAACTCGAGTCTGTCCAGAGAAGGGGACTGGGTCAAACTGTGACACCAACTTGCAGCGACACTTATTTTTTAAAAGACAATAGTTTCAGTTTTTGAGATTCCCATATTGTTGTGCGCTCAACATTCCTGACCCATTAATTCTTTCAGGGGAATCAAAGTGTTTTGGTTTATTTCACTAGTGTTAGGCCAACAAGTGCTCTGAGGTCCCAATTCTGCAAAAATTCATGCATGTGCCTATTTATGCCCTGCCGGTAATAACCCCATTAAATCAGCGGGACTACTCACACTGGGTACAGTTAAGCATGTGCTTAGTTTTTTTGCAAGATTGGGCCCTAGGTGAGCTGTGCTCTACCAGTCCTCCAAAAAGGAACTGAGGGGCACAGCGTGTTATTAGCATTCAAGGTGACCAGAGAGCAAGGGTGAAAAATCAGGACAGGGGGGTGGGGGTAATAGGATCCAATATAAGAAAAAGACCCCAAAACCGGGACTGTCCCTATAAAATTGGGACATCTGGTCTCCCTATTAGCATTGCACAGGAACTACAGTGGCTAAAACACACCAGCCGCAGATCTTTCAAGTAGAAGAAAACTTAAGTCTCAAACAATTTCACTGGCATACGAGAAGCGTCAGGAGCCGCTGAGGGAGCAAGATCACAAGCACCCCGCGGCCCCAGCCGAGCTCCGCACCAGGGGCGAAGGGGAGCAGCAGAGGCAGGCGGGCCCCAGCCCTGACTCCCACCGTCCCCGTCCCGCCAGCCCCCACACGGCCAGCGGGCGAACTGGAGCCAGCTCGGCTCCGCGGGCGCCGCCCCCCAGCAGGCTCGCCTGGGTCGGGCCAATAGTGACCGAATCCACTTCGGCTCCGTCTACTCCGAAGTCAGCGCGTCCACACGCGGCCCGGTTCTAATTCCCTCCCGCCAGGTTAGCGCCGGGCCGGGGGCTGAGCCGGGCTCCGTCCCCGGCGCTCCCGCGGGAAGGGCCCTACGCCGGCGGCCTCACCTACTGCGGCGGCGCTGGTGCCCCAGGGCCCGGCCCAGCCCGGGCAGGCCCACCCGGCCCCAGGCGCGGCCCGCCCGCAGTAGCGGCGGCATCCTGGGCTCGTCCCGGCGGCGGCTCTCGGAGCCCGAGCCCGCCCCGCTCCTCCCACAGCCGCGAGAGGAGGAGTCACGCCGGCCGCCGCCGCCGCTCCCCGGGTGTCAGAGCGGGCCCAGGGGCGCCGCTCCGGGCCGCTCCCCGGTAGCCATGGAGGGGGGGTCGCATGGCTTCGCCTCCAGCCCCCGGGGCCGGGCCGGGCCTGCGCCGCCTCAGCGGGGCGGGAAGCCTGTGCGCTGCCCGGGTGAGCGCAGGGCAGCCCGTAGCCTGGCCGGGCCATCCCTCCCCCAGGCGGCTTAGCGGGGCCCAACACTAGCCAGGGCCCCGCCGGGCCGGCGGCCAACCTGCCTCCTGCCAGAGTCTTTACCCCAAGAGTCAAAGGCGGCAGTGACTCCGCAGCGGCGCCGGGTCTGTGACCGGAGCGGGTGGCCGAGGGGCTGTGGCCTGCGATGTGCAGGAGGCCAGACTAGATGATCAGCCGGGGCGGCTCCAGGCACCAAGCGCGTGCCTGGGGTGGCAAGCCGGTCCCCGTGAGGGCGGCAGTCAGGCTGCCTTCGGCGGCATGCCTGCGGGAGGTCTGCCGGGCCCGCGGTTTCGGCAGCAATTCGGCGGTGTGTACGCCGAAGGCATAGGACAGGCGGACCTCCCGCAGGCATGCCGCCGAATCCGCGTTACCAGCGGACCTCCTGCAGGCGTGCCGCTGAAGGCCGGCTGACTGCCGTGTTTGGGGCGGCAAAATACATAGAGCCGCCCCTGATGATCAGGGTGGTCCCTTCTGACCTTAAAGTCTCTAGCCCCATGGGTGGCCAACCTGAGCCAGAGAAGGAGCCAAAATTTACCAATATACATTGCCTAAGAGCCACAGTAATACGTCAGCAGCCCCCCATCTGCTCCCCTCCACCAGCTCCCAGCGCCTCCCGCCCACCGGCAGCCCCGCCAGTCAGTGCCTGTCCCTCCCTCCCGATCAGCTGTTTCATGGTGTGCAGGAAGCTCTGGGGGGAGGAGCGAAGGCATGGCAGGCTCAGGGGAGGGGGTAGGAAGGGGTGGAGAGCGGGGTAAGGCCTGTGGCAGAGCCAGGGGTTGAGCAGTGAGCACCCCCCAGCACATTGGAAAGTTGGTGCCTATAGCTCCAGCCCTGGAGTCAGTGGCTATACAAGGAGCCGCATATTAACTTCTGAAGAGCTACATATGGCTCTGGAGCCACAGGTTGGCCACCCCTGCTCTCCCGCCGTCTGCCGCGGGATCCTGAGAGGATATGATTTGGCTAGAGCTCCCATTTAGGAGACTTCTCCAACCTGCACCAGCCCTTCTTAGTGGTGTGGCCTGACTAAAATCAGATCAACAGCAGGCGGTGTCACTGTGAATGTAAACGACTTAGCATTTATTACATTTGAGTGCCGATGCCATCTGTTTAAAATTTGAAAACAAAACTGATGGCATTTAACTATGGCATTTCTTTCTTAGCACTTCAGCATTTTTCAGGCTGCCAGTCAATGGGATGCTTCTGATGACATACATTCATATCTGTAATCGCTAAAAAGTTAAAAATATCCTTCAATTAAGTGACATAGTGTTATTTAAACAAAACAAAATACCTGTAATATATGTTTTCTTTGTACGTGACTAGTGGCAAGAGGACAGAGGCACCAAACTGACATTTCAGTAAACCTCTCTTTCAGTTCTATGATGCTGTTGGGAAATTTCATACAACCAGTGCTCAGCTTAAAGAAACTATCAACCCCAGGTGCACGCAGGCACTTCTGGGGATGGCTGAATGCAGTTTTTAACAAGTAAGGAAAACAAGTGTATGTAATAGTTCATGTGCTAGTTAAAAGCTCTGATGCACATCACTACGTAGCGTGGTTATTCAGTTAATGCATAAGCAACAGTAGCCAGTTACAAGTCACAGAAGAACAGGAGAGAGCTTTTTCTATTAAAAATGTTTTTTCTTTTCAAATAGTATTCTGTTGTCAGACAGTGGTTGTTTCTTACATGTTCCAGTAATAAAATCACTGATTTACAATGGAAAGTGTGTGCTTTAATCAGTATGCTGTGGGGTAATTTTATTTACCTTGGTTGAGACTAGTTAGAATTTAAATTCTAGCTTCCTAAATCCCCATCTTCCTTTGGCCTTGATTCCATTAGCATTTAAATTCTGGCTCTAGCATTCTAAATTTCTTTTATGTATTCAGAAGGCGCTCTAAAGAATTATCCTTCCTAATGTAATTTAGTTGCACTAACAGGTTTTTTTGTTTTTAAAAAAGTTAAAATTTAATTATTTCTCTACCAATAACAAATGTCAGACATTCATAGTCTGCATTCAGTCTTCTTCAGCATTCTCCACCAAGTCTTAAGAAGCATCCTCATAGAATAGATCCCAGGATTTTAACTAATTCCTGGGGTGTGTCCCTTTGTAGTACTATTAAACCTTGACAAAAGAGATGTCAGGAATGGCATGTATGTAGCAATCTATGATGGAATCAAAACTGACTCAGGAGGCAAAATCCCAAATACTGTTGTAAAGCCTCATCCTGGGTAGATGCTGGATATCTCCTGCATACAGACTTCTCTGTCTGTTTCATGCTTTTGCAATACTTGTGTAGCATTTTCATGCCTACCAAGTAGTTTTGAATTAATAAGGTAGGGCAACGTGAGCTTAATGAGTGCATGGGGTTGGCAGAGGTAGAATGCTGAGCACAGACAGAAGGAGAGGATTAGAGAGAAATACAAGTGACAAATCAGCTAGCAATATCTTTCTTCATTACCTTACCAAAATTTAATTTTAATTTAAAATATAAATTAACACAGGTTACCAGATTTTTGTTTTAAATAGTGCAGACTTAATAAGTTGGTGTAAAGCACTGCCCTGGGACTCAATCCTATCTTTCTCTTTTCCTTTCATCATACACTTAAAAATATTTATTGTGTAGTAATAGGGCTGCAAATGTGATAAAGCTGTAGGTTGGTATAGGAAGATCTAAATGTCTGTTCTATGTTGACAGGGTAGACTATGAACGTATACAGGCTGTTGGCCCTGATAGAGCAGCTTCTGAATGGCTTCTGCGGTGTGGGGCGCTGGTTCGTTTCCAAGGCTATGATAAATGGCAGCATGACTACAATGGTCTCCCAACCGGGCCTTTAGGAAAATACAAGATACAAGCAATCGATGCCACAGAGTCCTGCATCATGTACCGAGGATTTGATTATTTGGGTAACCAAGACGCAGCTTTGCAAATTATATATTGTCCTTAAAATTCATCCATTTGCATCAAAGACTGAGCAGTTGTGCCTTTTTTTGTTTCTTTGTGACTCATAGAGAAGGCTTGATTTTTAAAAGAAAAATGTTTGTGTTTTAATTGAGAAATATCAGATTTGTACCTCTGTTTTTGCTGGAGGTCTCTTTTTAGGATACAGATGGATCGGGAGCTTTGTCAGCCACTGCTTGAAGAGGGAAGAGCATTAAACAATTGGAACAAAGATTTATTAGTTAAATAAGTTCATAGTTCAATATGCATTAATGCAAACCAGGGTTTTAAATGTTCTGAATAAAAAAGACTTACTCTAAATCATGTGTCAATTTTTGGTATTTGTGAAGCCATAGTGGTTTCCAGGAAAAGCCAGATAAGCAAGATCTGAATTTCTAATTTAAAAGAAACAGAATTTTTAAAAAGCTGTTGCCTTTCAGTCGTCTTTTACACAACAAAGAACAAAAATGGGACACACACTCTTTTTTCTTTGCAAATCATCTTAAATTTCTTGCATAATTGTATTGTTAGTTCAGCACTTATCAGTCATGCTGGGCATGCTGATTTTCTGTCATTTGCCTACTTCCGTATAAAAAACCCTTAGAACCTTAGTCATGCTTTTGTGATTGTGAAGCCTACAATGGGATTGCTGCAGAGTACAGTACAATAATTCATGATGCATTATGGCTCTTCCATATGCAGGCATCTGTTGCCACCAGTTTATGGAAGCATGAGAATAAGAACTGCAAACCCGTTGGCGGCACCTCATACAGTTTGCTCCTTGTATTATGATTTTTCTCTTTTCCAGATGGTCTCAAACACGTTGAGGAAATTAAGCTGAGCAACTGTATTTATATCCAGGATGAATGTCTGCAGAGGATCAGTGAGACTGAGAGTTTACAGAAAAGTCTCCTGCGACTGATGATAATTTCCTGTGGGAATGTCACAGATAAAGGCATCATAGCACTCCACAAACTAACGTGAGCCATTGAGGGAATGTCTTGTAGAACATGACTTTTCCAGCTCTTGCCATATTTGTATGTTTAGAATAGTATTGGATCATTGAAATTCATTTTTTTTTGTTTACATTTGAGTTCAATAGTCTTTGATGTACAATGAAAGCAAAAATGGTGTGGGCTGTTCTGAGAAATCAGTTTTAGCAGTCTGAATTAACACACAAAAATCTAACAAACCCATTAACCTAACACCAATTCAGTAAGTAGAACTAACTGTAGGCTATAGTGCTGAAAGTAGGAAGCCTAAGAGTATGTGAATCCACAGCTGAATCATGTCCTCGTAGTTAACCTTTTTTCATGTCCCCATTTGTAGGTGAGATTCAGAAATGTTGGTTGCTCAACAGATTACAGCAGATCGTGCTGTCCCTGTGCTGAGGCATTGTCTCTGCAAGTGCAGTGGATTAGTACATTTACCTGCCACCTTTGGACTACTATGTTAGGATATGTCTGTGCTACACTGCACAATTGCAGCTTAGGGTACGTCTATACTTACCGCCGGGTCCGGAGGTAAGCAATCGATCTTCTGGGATCGATTGATCGCGTCTTGTCTAGACGCGATCAATCGATCCCGGAAGTGCTCGCCGTCGATGCCGGTACTCCTACTCCGTGAGAGGAGTACGCGGAGTCGACGGGGGAGCCTGCCTGCCGCGTCTGGACCCGCGGTAAGTTCGAACTAAGGTACTTCGACTTCAGCTACGTTATTAACGTAGCTGAAGTTGCGTATCTTAGTTCGAAGTGGGGGGTTAGTGTGGACCAGGCCTTAGATGCTTGGGCTGTAGCTCGGACTGTGAGACCCTGTGGATGGGGAAGGTCCCAAAGCCAGGGCTCCAGCGCCAATGTCTACACTATAATTCTATAGCCCTGCAGCTGGAGCTCCGTGAGCCTGAGTCAGCTGACCCGGGCCAGCCATGGGTCTTTTATTGCAGTGTAGACATACCTGGGAGTCTTGCTTAGGAACTAACAATCCACTTTCACCTTGCTTTCTGCCAGTGAGCACCCCATCCCTTTCTCCTCAACGTAAAACAAAACCAAACAAAACCAACCCTGGCATTTACAATTCACCGCACCTCCAATTATCTTTGTTTACTTTAACCACTTTGCTTTAGCTGTGTCTGATGTAGCTCCTAAAGGCTTTGGGATTGAGGCCTTGTTTGTTTTTTAATCCCTGCATGGGAGGCAGTGAAGCCCCTATTCAACAGAGCACTTCAAGCAGCACTATACTCTGATTATTATACAGGAGTATAAACATTGACAAACTCCTTGCTAATGGTGAAGAGGAACCAGTTTGGCTTTCACGGCCTTAGTAAGTTACTAGGAGGACTTCTGATAGTAATAAAAAGTAATGTCAAAAGAGCAGGATGGTATGTGGGGCAGGGATCTTGTCTTCAGTTTTGTCAGCAAAGCACCTTGCACACTTTAAGAAATGAATCAATGGAAGCTTGTAGCTACTAAGCTCCTCTGAAAACTTTAGGCAACCAATTTTGAACATATTGGCTCCCTATTAAAAATTCTTTGAAACACCTACAGCCCCTAGAGTCTCTTCATATGTATAATTAATTTAAGGGTGAAAGCATCTGTGCTTTTGAAATTAATCACACTGTCTTGTAAAGTAGCCACTGACTGACTTTTTATATATTTATAGGAACCTTGAATATTTATTTCTGAGTGACCTTCCTGGGATAAGTGAGAAAGAAACTACTGTTCAGATCCTTAAGAAATCAATGCCATCACTGGAGCTGGAATTAGATTTAGAATAAAGGCATCTTTATGTAATTCTGAGGAATCTTATTTCATAATATTCATTATCCTTAAACTATATGGGTTATACAGTTGTCACTACTTATATTTCCTCATGGAAGAAGATCTCTCATCCATGGCTTTGAAGGTATTTTAAAAAAAAAAAATCACTCAGTGAAATGTCGTTGAACTTAATTTGTGCTTCACTTAACTACAGCGAATGCAATTCTGTAAACACTTGTATGTTTTGGAGTGGTTGTAAGAAGATAAAGAATTCTGTCTACTAGCAGGGGAAATAAGTAAAAACCAAATACTCTTCCTTGCACGCATGTATAGAATTACAATGGCTGTTTTTAAATGTGCCTCTGTCTACCAGATGAGTATGGAAAAGAGATTGAGTATGGCTGAAGAACTAGACAGTATACAGCTGTACTGAATATTTGTCAAGTTTCACCTGCTGCCTAAATGAGAGCTGTGCATGGTCTGTTTGGGAATGTTACCAAATGTGTATGATGAAGTTTTAGTAAACACTCTTGAAAACCAATTTAAGTCAAATCCAAATGGAAAGAACTTAGGGGTAGTTTTTTCAAAGACAGGCTCTATAACTTTTCCAAGGCACTGCAGCTGATAGGCCGAGCACTTTTTTCCTGTGAAGAAGCAGGTTTTCTGGTGGATGCCCTTGCACAGACTATTGCTTTAAACTACTCTGGGCTGAATTAGGCCTTGTACCTACCCCCAGGGTGACCAGAGAGCAAGTGTGAAAAATCGGGACAGGGAGTGGGAGGTAATAGGAACCTATATAAGGGACCTCAAAATCAGGACTGTCCCTATAAAATCGGGACATCTGGTCACCCTAACCTACCCCCAAACAGGTTTGGGTGCACTTAATGAAATGACGTAATTAGTAACGAATATTTTAGACCACCTCTCTCAACTTGGCAGAAGTATATCTTCAAAAGGGTTATAGTGCTTTTATGAACCCCTTCCAGGCTTCTGTGGTAGGGCAAAGAAGGGCTTGCAAGGAAACAAGGTTCTTGCTAACTCCACAGTTGTGTGTTGAGAGTTCCCAGAAGGGGAGAGTGAAAAACGTCTATTCAGTCTCCTTCATGGCAGCCCTGAATGTTTCTTTTTCTCTCTTCCACTCTGGGAATCTATTATGGATTGTACCTGTTGCGCTCTCTCTCTCTCCTTTAAATCGTTTCTCCCCCAGAGGTACTGCAGAGCAGAATGGAGAACATCCCTTATTTGTCCCATTTGAACAACCTGTCCATTCTGAAAGCCTCACTGACCTGTATCTTGGAGGGTATATGCTCAGCAATTTGGGGACAGTAAAGCTGAGCTGGTATTTATTGTAGGATAAATATGAAATGAACGAATTAAAGTTAGCTTAAAGAACAGCCCTGACTAGTAAGTCGAAGGAAGGCCTTGGAAATAATGAATTATAAGGCTAGAAGGAATGAAGTAGGGAGGATGTCTGGTTCAAAGAATAACTAAAACATAAGGAAAGATTTCTAAAAAGGCCTCTGACCAACAGGGATGACGGGATGGTTTTAAATAAGACAGAGAATCGGTCTTAAAATGAGCCAGCATAGCCCTTCCCACCCCACATATCAGGGTCATCTCAAAAATTAGGGCCTGTGTGAACCCAGATGCAAAAGAAATACTGTTGGTCAGCAAGGAGGAGGGGCAGAGAGAGGGAGGAAAGGCCTTGGGGAGAAATACAGTCTGATCTGTGTTAAGGCTGGAATTAAGGGTGAATGGTCTCAAATTGGTTTTTAGCTAAAGTCAGTACTTGGCCATGACATCACTTGGTTGTTAAAGAGCATAAAAAGTAAACGCTGAAAAGGTTCATTGGCTGACCACGCTGGAGCTGACCAAGATGGGGTTTAGCCCATTTGTAAATATCCTGATCAAATGATAAGTATTGTGTTACTGTCTGGATATAGTAAATTGCTTACGCTTTAGGCATGTTTAGAGCAATTGTATAAATACCATTTGGCCTTTGGATTTAATAAAGGAATGAATGGTTAAATTAGTGGTATGGTGATACTCTGCATAAATAATAATAGAGACATCCAGTGCTGGAATTATTAGTGAACTCTGCTACTCAACGAGAAGGCTCTTCGGGAAGAAATATGGCCACACAGGAGCACTGAATGGGAAGGGGAAGCTTTGAGGAAAAAATATAATCAGTGTAATTTTTTTAAACAGGCTATCACGTATCCCCCTACAGCTGCTGCTCTCACAGAATCCACCGCTGGCAGGAGATAGTTTTAGGGCAGGTCTTCACTACGGGGGGTCGATTTAAGATACGCAAATTCAGCTACGCGAATAGCGTAGCTGAATTCGACGTATCGCAGCCGACTTACCCCGCTGTAAGGACGGTGGCAAAATCGACCTTCGCGGCTTCCCGTCGACGGCGCTTACTCCCACCTTCGCTGGTGGAGTAAGAGCGTCGATTCGGGGATCGATTATCGCGTCCCGACGAGATGCGATAATTCAATCCCTGAGAGGTTGATTTCTACCCGCCGATTCAGGCGGGTAGTGTAGACCTAGCCTAAGTCTCTGCACTTTAGCTTTTTCCTTACCAGTGAGTGTGCTTTTCTACTGGAACTGGCCTTGGGGTTTAATTAAGTGATATATAGTGATTAGGGGAAATTAGAGAGACTGTGTTATGGAAAGCAACAGCCTAAAACACTTACAAGAAGACGCAAGTGGAAGTGTCTCAGTAATCTACTGTGAGGTGAAGTGTACCAGCAATTCCACCTACTTACAAGAGCACTGGTGAGGGAGCCTTAGGACCCATCTAGCATCAGCTAGTTGGTTTAGCAGTGGACCTAGTTTCTGATCTTACATACACAGATGTCACTATTGACTTTCATGGAATTACTCATACTTCATCAGTACAAATGAGAGCAGAATCAAGCTCTGTGAGTTCCCTTGGGGTCCAGATACCACAAACAGGCAGAATTGTACTATTGGGCTTAGGCCAATCTCTGACTATTAGAGAGCAGGATGAGGTGGGGGGCAGATTATCTCACATCTTCCTCTGAAGCATCTGACACAAGATTCTGGACTAGATGGACCTCAGGGCTGATCCTGTGGCAATACCTATATTCCTACTGTTTAGACGGTGGTCATGCTTGGAATATGGAACTCCAGTACAATCCACAGCTCACAAGATCAGGTCCATGATGTGACGCTCAGCCTACATGCTACTTAACTGTACAGCATAATTGCTCTGTTCCATCACAAAAATGCAAGGCTGGATGACTTATTCCTACATAAAAACACTGAAATTTATTTTTTTTCCCTCAAAAAGGACATAACCAAGCAAATACATAGGGGACAATGCTTGAAATTAAATGATATAAAATGTATTAGTCCACTTATATGAACATTAAAATATAAAACAAATACGTTAATCTGTCCTCACAAAACAATGTGTTTGGCTATCTGCCCCACTAAAACAATGTCAAGTTTTTGAACTGCATTATACCTCCGATAGTATTCAAAAGAATAATACTTTCTCTGGACTTCAAACAGCTGTTAAATACTTCTGAGGTTGTACTACCGATATTAATGACATACACCATAATCAAACATTAACACACAAATAGAAAGGTGAGCTACATTAATTTTATTCAAAACCAATAAAGTATTACATCCTGAGATTACACAAAGAAATTAGATTTATCCTAGTACAGATATTTAGGAGGCCTTTCTGCCCATTCCTTTCTAGTATAACCCACAGGTGAGCGGTTTCTGGTATTGACCAAATAACAAATGAAATCTCTTGGTAATGCCAGAAAGAGAAAGGCAGGGGAAACCTAAAAACATATTCTAAAGCAGGAGTCTCAAACACGCGGCCTGCAGAGTTATTTGCTGCGGCCCGCCAAGCTCCCCGTGCCCCCCCCCCCCCCGTTTTTTCCCTTGCCCCCCAAGCCCCCCCCCCCCCCCCCCCCCCCCCCCGCCCCAGCGCACTGCGTCCCCACTCCTCTGCCTACCTCTAGGCGCTTCCCACCGCCAAACAGCTGTTTGGTGGCGCTTGGCGCTTTCCAGGAGGGAGGGGGGAGGAGTGGGGAGCCGTGCGCTCAGGGGAGGAGGTGGAGAAGGGGCGGGGATTTGGAGAATGGGTTGGAATAGGGGTGGGGAAGAAGTGGAAAGAGGTGGGGCAGGGGCAGGGCCTCATGGAAGGAGTGGGGGCGGGGGCAGCGGGTGTGTGTGTGTCAATGATGCGGCCCTCGGGCCAACGTACTAGTCCTCATGTGGCCCTCGTGGTGATTTGAGTTTGAGATCCCTGTTCTAAAGCAACAGCAAGGTTTTACTAAAAGAGTATGTATCTATTTTATTGTCCCCACCATCAGTGACAATGCAGTAGTCTATTGGGCATTCCATTACGTTTACCGTAGGCTTTTCTAATGTTCCTAACACCGTATTTGCACATTACAAATATATTTTACCATGTTCAGCCAATTGAGTGAATGCTGCAATTAGCTGAACAGTCTCCAGCCCCATTCTTACAAACTCACACAAGTAACTTTACTCACATAGGAAGTCCTACTGTTGGGCCTGCTCATGTGAATCAAATTATGCGTATGCATAAGTGTTTCAACTATCTAGTGCTGTGTAATATATAGTATATTTTTTCATTATTTTTAATGCTTTGACACAATGGGACTTTCTAAAACAAACTTATTTGGCATGCTTGTGACTTAACTGCCAAGTCTTGAATACAGGCACTCAATGTGGTTTATTAAAGTCCCATGCTGTAAGCAGTGGGTCTTGGTAACGCTGAACCACAATATAATCACTAAACAAAAACAAACAAAAACAAAACACTTGTGTTCTCCTTTATACATAGAATACTGATTAGCATGCAGCTCTGAGCTCTCTATGCAGAGGTTTCCTTCCATTGGTGACCCACCACAAACTAACTTCAGAGATCACTTATGTGTCTATTGTAAAATTTACATTAATTTAGTTCTTCACCTTAAGTGTTCCTTTTAGAAATTGTTGAAGGCTTGCACTTGGAA